CTCTCTCTCTCTCTCTCTCTCTCTCTCTCTCTCTCTCTCTCTCTCTCTCTCTCTCTTGTGTCACCTTCGTGCGGCGCACATGCGCGACTATGCCGACCCGATCAGATCGAATAACTTTGAAAGGGAGAATAGGCTGTATTCATAAGAACGACGCGAAAGAGTTCCGCCCGACGGTCACAATGACGATGACGGAGTCGCGCCTCGTCGCGTCTTCGGTGTCTCGCGTATTCGGAGTCACTGCTCCTTGTGGCCGCCCCGTTTTCACACGCGAATGTCGACGGCGAAAGCAGGTCTCCCCGAGTTGTCGTCTCACGTCGGCGGAACGGCTTCCTGCACGGTGAATTCTCTCGCGAATTTCCCTTCCGGCATTCCCGACGAGAATGCACGCGATATCGAGCGGGTTGCATTTTGTTTGTTTTACGGCCTCTCTCCCCATCTCCTCGCGCGGCTTCAGCAGACGGCCGTGCGTTCCCTTCGCCTCATCGTAATATTTCATTTGTAGCCGTAACTCATTGAGGCCCTCAGTCTGGCGTCATGCAACGCGCGATCACACAGGCACCGTTGAGAGATCGGCCGGCGCGGAGAGTAAATTTTAATCTGCTAATCTAAATGTCGGGCGCGCGAATGAATATTTGCCGAAACGATCGAGCTCCGAAATCTACCGTGGCAATGGCTGCCGGCGTCGATTGTGCAAAACGGGAATCCTGTTTCGCTTATCCGACAGTTCATCGAGTTTTTCATATTTACATAGGTCGCGCTCGAGATTTGTATAGGCGCTCACTTCGCTGTGAAAGAAGCGTACGTACCTTGAGGATCAAACTGCCACTGCAATGACACGTATAGCTCGGCCGTTAGCAGCTGGCTTCTTGTCAATCGGCGCGTTCGTTTTTTAGAAAATCAAGCGCGTATCACGCGGAGATCACGACGATGTCGTGGCAGCGCGTCAAATGGAATAATTTCTTTCCCGAGCGGACGGTGTATCGCATATGAAACCGAGCGGAGTCACCTCTGTGAACCTTCAATTTCATGAAAATGCATCAGGTGTTTCATCACCTTCGCCATCAAGCTAGCCAACCTGCCGGGCCTGATTCGCATAGAGTGCAGTCATGTTCTATGCGGGCGAAAATATTACGGGAATCTAAATGCGCTGTTAACCACCCCGATGCGGATCGTATTTTCGCTTTCTGCCGTGGCATCTGGCAGAAGGTAACTTAATCATTTCTCCAGACACCGATTCGTTTGCTCTCGTTATCGTCTCGCAGGGATTTCTCTGCGAAACGAATCGTCGACGTTCAGCATCTTCCCGACTGGAAATTTGTTCTACATGGAGAAGAAAGTTGGTTAACGTGAAGTTTTTAATTGTAATATGAACGAATCATGCTTTTTGGCTGAAGGAAATGAAATTTCGGATTCCTAGGATCAAATTTGCTCCCAATTTGGGTCTGAGAATCAGAAAGTCCTTCAACTAAAACCTGACAGTATTGAGAAAAAATATTTGAAAATTTATTTGCAGAATGTTTATTTCTGTGAATAAACATCATATCCCACAAATAAATTTCTAAATATATTTTTTCTCAAGTATACTTTTTTTCCTCAATACATTCATGTTTGCGCTTCTGCTTTAGCTACAGAATTTAATTAAATCTTATAATTATGGTAATGAGCATAAAATTGTCAAACTTGTATTCTAAAATGAAAAGTTGGAAAAGAAATTGCTTACTTTTTTCATGAGAAACTTTACGCAATTTTAAGCGTCGACCATTCTATTCTGCACACGATCGCTATATTGTATTCTCCAACGAGAAAATCACTGTTTCACAGATTGGAACGAAGAATATAACTTTATCTGCATTAAATTTCCGCGTGTGGTCTCTATGATCCAAATTTGATTTGAAAACTAGAAATTCTGTTTCCTTCAATCTAAACACAGCCAAACTTGCGCTTCCAAAATTGTCACGAAAATTTCGCGAATTGGCATATAATCAGGTTCTACGTGGAATCTGTATGGCTTTCGCGACATTCTCAGGACATCTGAACCATATATCGCTCCAATTAATCGTCGATCTCTTTTTATCGTCGCGACGCTCTAATAGGCAAACATCGGAACTGCGCTCGGGCGCGGTATTCTCAACTCGTTTAGCATTTACGTAAGTGCAGTTGGCAGCGCAGAACTTACCGCAGGATGGAACTTTGTCGCATTGAATTGAATAGAGCGATTCATGTTTAGATTAGTGCATCACGCCGCTGGTAATACCGTGGAAGTTTGTAAACTCCAGACTTCTGCCACGGATGCCGCCGCAGCGAGGGGAACTGTTAAGCAAATGCGAATTTGGACGCGACGCAGTTTATTCTCACAAAGCCGCTCCCGCACGGCTATCCTGCTCTCTCCGGGTCCGCGGACTTTGAAGTCCCTCGGATGTTCACGCAGAATTACCATAAGCGCATAAGGACTATCCTCCCGGTTCTCTTCGATATTCTAATAACGTCGGAATGTTATTACGTTTAATCGTGCGTTATATAACTAATATAATTGTGGGTTGCATAAAAGGGGGAAAGAAAAAACATGCATAGATAACAAGTTGAGCAACGTCATCTGATTTATGTAAAAACAAAAACCTATTAACTTCAGCGTACGACACCTTGAGATATCTCGCAGGCTGGTTTATTCCACTTCGATTTATTGAATATTCAAGAAAATATTGACTTATCGGTTTTCGCGAAACTTTACGCCTCATGAAGTTTCTTAACCCTCGACGGAAAACCTACCGGAAAATTGAAAATCTATACTCGGGCCGCGCTCGAACGATCAAAAACGCCGGAAACTACTCTATAAAGGAAGATCAGTCGAAACGACTTGAATCAAACGAATTTAATCCTGGGGTTCTGTGTGGCGAACTAATTGCTCCAACTCCTTCCGAAAATTTTTCATGTTCATCCCTTATTTCTACAGAATGTACAGGATGTATTGTCGATATAGTCTGTGCGAAAAGGGAGAAAATAAAAAATACGCTAATATTTCTAATAAATGTCAATAATTTCTAAAAAAAAACTACATTTTTATAGCTTATTTATTTTATATTATTTCTTTATTATATTATTTTATATTATTTCTGACTCTTAAACTTTTATCTCGGAACTCTGTGCACATCATTTTGAATACTTATTAAAGTTCACGTACAAAAAAAATTAAGATTTTCGTAATTATTTTTTAATTATTACATTTACTTCACTAAAAATAGCAACGTCATATATTTGCATAACAGCACGGTTTAAAATATTCTCCGACAACAGGATGGCATTCATTAATTCAAGAATTTAATCAATTATTAGAAACGTCACTAATGTATTATTAAAACTGAATCAATATTACATTGTTTATGACCACTTTTTGATGCAATATAAATCAATTTCCAATTTTTTCAACATTTTTTCATTATTTATCAGATAATGCACCTGAAAGATTTAGTTGTCGATGACGCGAAAGTTGACCCGTTACATTTATATTACACGTACAACTTAGCACTTCGTCTGTTTTTTTTCCGATGACTGAATTTTGCAATTCATATCCCTATATGTTAGATTGTCAGTTTGACTCGATTGTAATTTGCATAACAAAATTTGCATAACCCAGAGACCTGATTATTTTTGTCCGACCTTTTTCTTCGGTGTGCGTGCAGGTAGTGCGGTGTGTCATCAGTGTTTAACGTGTCGCTAGAGCAGTTGCAAAATTACAGAATACACTACTCCTCTCGATCATGACTGCACGTTCTGCCGCATGTGCGGCGCAGATTCCTTCAAAGAGCGATCGCGTTGTTCCCTTGGAGTTCACCAATATCGAATGTCGGAGTCTGAAAGTCCGGGCGAGACGAGCGGAAGTTTTCCCCCGGGACTTCCCCGAGGCGTCTTGTTCGCGAGAAACGCGAGTCAAGAAGCACTACAACGCGAGATACTTTCATCTCTCCTTCGCTCCTCTCATTCACTTGTCGCCCCCTTTTTCTCGCGCGCCTCGTTGATTAATTATCAAAGTCGCCGCTGGCTTTCTAATAAATCTCACTTGGGCATTACGGAATTGTATAAATAAAGCAGGGCATCCAACTCCGGCGAGATCGTCCTCGCTGTCAACGCTGCAAACGCAAATTCAAGACCTAACGCGATGGCACGCGAGCAGAGAGGAGAGATGCGCGTTGCGTCGAGAAAGCTACAGTGAAAATGACGGGGCGTGTGGTACTGCGAAAACAAGCTTCATTCATTAATTTATCGGACGGTCGAAAACGCTCGCTCGTTTATTCTCCTTTCTATTTAGCGCCGAGATTAATCCGGCTGATTCGTACCATCGAAATTAATTAATTCGATTAAAATCAAATTTAACTTTTCCCGACGCGCTGTGTGTCTCGCGCAAACACCGATTTTACCAGCGCGTCGATTCTTCTTTGAAATCGCACACTCGAGTCGGAAGCAAACACGCGACAAAGTCGCAACTTCATTTTTTACTCGTCTCTTTTCAGAGACCGTCTTTTATGAATTTTATTGTGGGACCTTTGACACCTGCGCGCGATGTCGCTGTTGCTCGTCGGATATTGTCGAGTTTTACTTTCATCGGAACGTAACGGAACGTTATTTCATCGCAGTCTTCTCGGAGGACTTCGCATCGCTTGCATTACAAAATCGGCGCGATGTTTTTCGCTTTTTGCTCTTTTTTTTTTTTTGCTTTTTTGCACCGCTACTATATTTTTCTCTGTCGATTCTATCGCTTTCGAATTAACATGACTAGATAGACGTGCGAGCCTCGATGTTGGCGGGCGGAAGCGTTTGAATGGACCTGTACGGGGGATTGGTAGGGTTCGGTAGTAGAGGAGGGTTGCTTTGATCTGCGTAATTAAACGGCGCGATTTCTCTACACAATGATACGCTCGGCGGATACTGTGTGTACACGGCGAACGGACCTAGATCGTTATCTGTTTTGGATATTTCGTGTTTGAGTACAGCTGTCGATGTTATCGGCAATTTTTTGTTGTTGCGTTATTCGCGTCAAATCTACGTCCCGCGCGCACGCGTGTGTGCGCGCACCGTCGCTCAGTACTTCGCTTTTCGTCGTTCTGTACGAACAGACGGGATTGGGAAAGTCGCTTTTCAAAAGTGACTCGTTACAGTTACTCGTTAGCCACCGGAAAAAAGAAAGAGTAACTCGTCAACGTTACCGCGCTGTTCATTTCGGGAAAGTAACTCGTTACATTTCTAATGAAATTTATTTTATTTCTTAGCGGGATAGACCTTACTGACAATCAATTCCTGCACCACTAGAAACACACATTGTCAGAAAAAAAATCTAAAAGTAACAAATATTTATTCGGTGGGTGTCAACAAAACATATGTTTCAAATTAAGCTCATTTGTCTAAATAGAATAAGCGATTGCTTTCATGAAAAGCAAAATATATATTTTCTCATTTGAAAGAGATATTTTTTATAATGTAAAAGCATACATATTAATATATGATGTTATTAGTAGCGTCGTGAATATTTGTCATCTTTTACATATTTTTTTTTCCTCAGTGTAGTAAAATCGAAAAGAGCTTTGCGCACATAAAAAGAAAATTATAATACTCTCTCCGTATACACGAGGTCACAAATATTTCCGCTTCACGTCGCTTCATTCATCATCTTTGGTCGGAAGTTGATACGCGTTGTTGATTACTTTACGACGCGAACGACGAGTCGAACTAGCCGGTGAAAAATGTAAGAGCCGCTGCAAAACTGCGGCATTTTTTCCTTTTTTTTTGCTCTTGCCCATCTCAGGGGCCATATAGCGTGATCGCGATCTTGAGAAGAGTAGACGAGAAGATTGTTAAGCGGCTATCAACACGCGATCTGACCATTGTCGTCTCAAAGTATTACTCAGAAGCTCCGTATAGCGAAGAACGTATAGCGTGGTGCAGATTAATGTAGCAGGTACGAAAACATTCGAGCATCGTTAAGAGTCGTTAGTCAGATGCGCGCTAGTCGTGAGAGATCCTGAGAGGAAGGATAGACGAGCATGAGAAATGAGAACCACCCTTTCTAGGTTGAGGTGGAAGCAGCTGCACCCTTGCGATCGCGCAAGTGGCAGTGCTTTCCGCTGTTTCCGCGCGCGCAAACACGTAGAATTAGGCGCGATCTCGAGAGTATCCGAGCGAAAAAGTTTGCGCTGAGTTGAGCACGGTGTTCTCGTGCATCAAGATCGTTCATCAAAATCGGCATGCGCGAAGTTCATCCTTCTCTTCCGATTCGGCGATCACAGGACCTCCTAACGCGCGAATATGTTCTCTCTGTGTTCCAGAAAACCGGAGCCAGGATCAAGATCTATTCGAACACCTGCCCGCGCAGCACGGATCGCCTCATCAGCATCTGCGGGAAGCCAACGACGTGCATCGAATGCATACGCGAATTGATCGCCACCATTAAGACCGTGAGTGTACCATGAGATCATGGCTTTCCTATAAATCTTCGTAGTTGCGCCGTTACGTCGAGCACGTGTCCCCGGCGAACGCGATCCTTTTTGTCAGGCATTGGGATTTGTTCGTCTCGTATTTTGCTAGTGTTTGAGTTTCGTTCCCGCATATGTAATGACACAGAAAGAACGTTTACTTTTCTTCATGAGGTTCCTTCAATTAGACTAAAGATATTCTTCGTCGCAAACCCTCCCCCAAATGTCTCTCTCTACTCATTTTAATTTCACTTATAATTCAATATTCTTCTCTCTACACGGGGCAAATTTTATAGTAAAAGTCATATAGAATTTTCTTACCGAGAAATAGGTCGACATTTCGCAGCAATTTATGATTTTTTCATTTCATATGCTATTTACTTTAGGAACTGTGCTGTTAGAAAATTTGCTGTGTTCCTTAGCATGAAAGACCTTACTGGCAGTCTGTTTCTGACTGCTGAAAACACAATAAAATTGGAAAGAGTTTATATGAAAAAAAAAAAAGAAAGAAAACTATATTCTTTTCGTATATAATCAGAAGTACTTTCTATGATTAAATATTCTAATTACTCCAAACTTTTTTCCCAATTACACTCGGACAGTAGAGTAGCTGAATAATCCAGGTTTATTTTTCTCTTCGGGATTGCTCGATCTCCAAGAGAGAAGAATAACGTTCCATCCTTCTTTTTCAGTCGCCGCTCAAGGGTGTAAACAACCCTTACGACCCGCACAACTTCGACGACTTCTACGCCGACGATTACGGCGGCTACGGTAATGCCGATGGCCAGAGTAAGGTCAGCGGATTCGGCGGGCCCGGTGGCCGCGGTGGCGGCGGTGGCGGAGGCGGCGGAGGTGGTGGCGGCGGTGGCGGGATGCCACCGCGTCGCGACAACCGCGGCGGCGGTGGCGGCGGCGGTGGCGGTGGCCCTGGCGACATGAACCGCGGCTTCCCACCACCACCCCGAGGTGGCCCGCGCGGCAGCGGCGGCGGTGGTAGTGGAGGCGGCGGCGGTGGTGGAGGCGGCGGAGGCGGTGGTGGAATGTCCGGCGGCCCACCGGATCGCGGATACGGCGGTAATTCCCGCGTCGGCGGCGGCGGCAGTGGCGGCGGCGGCGGCGGGGGTGGCGGCGGCGGCGGCTACGACGGCGGCCGCGGCGGCGGTGGCGGTGGATACGGCGGCGGAAACCGTGGCGGACCGCCTCCCTACGGTAGTGGAAATTATAACGGTATGGATATATTTCCGATTCTCTCGATGATAGATAATGATCCGCTGAAGCATCGTGTGTAGTGCCTTGAATCCAGGATGACCCTCATTAAAATTCCGATTAAATTAAGACAACACCCGGTAGGAACAGTTTCTAGCTATGTAACATTCCGCTCGAAAGAATGATCAAAAGCTCAGCAATTCTGCGTATGCGAAATGGTAACACTTAACCGATATAGTAATTTTTAATAGGGGTTGTAAAGAGCAAACAACGCCGAATGTTCTTCATCGTTTTGACAACAAACTTTTCTTCAAATCTTTGTTTTCTACGACCTTATTTACCGAGTTGATCGGCTTAATCAAAATTTAATAAAATTCGCCATTAACATTTCAATCGCAAGCTTTTGGAATCTTCGATGGTGATAAAGGCAAATTAAAGTCGTAGCGATCGTGCAGCAAGTATTTTGCTTCGGGATAGTTTATATTATGGCGGTAGTCCAGGCGTGACACAGCAGCGGATGCGTCAAAGTACCGTTGTGGTCTTGAAATACTGACAGCAAACTTACAATCTGCTTGAAATTGTCGTGAAATATTCGGTGATACGTGCACGCGTGAAATATGACTCCATTAATGTCCCTTTTGTCGCAGGTGATGGATGGGGGATGCAAGGAGGCGCGCCCAATGGCTTAGGTGGCGGTGGCGGCGGCGGCGGCAGCGGCGGTGGTGGCGGCGGTAACGCGGGGATGGGCGGCCCACCGATGGGTGGAAACAACCAAGGGAACCAGGGTAACATGGGTGGCAACAAAACTAGTACCCAAGTCACCATTCCGAAAGACGTGAGTTGATTACACTTTACATCCTTGTTTCCTTTATTGATAAAAGCATTCGTTACGAGCGTATTCGTTACATTTAGTTATAACTGGTTAATTCATGGCGTTCGCTTTGGGCGCTAACACGCAAAAAAAGAACTAGCTTCCAGAGCTAAAAAACAGCCGTGGTAGATAAGATGTGTCACTGAAATAGGGACAGCTAATGTCGATACTACCGAAGCTAAATTTATTCGCTGTTTAAACTTAGGCGCTACAGCGAGAAATATTAGTTGCTAGAAACAAATAACTGTAGCAAATGATTGTAGCTGTGCGGCAAACTTCCTTAATATATGCATACGATAAGAAATTTAGAAACAATTGCCATTTTCTTAGCTATTTGAAATGTGCTATTTTTAATATCACTTAATATGTATTTCACAGCGAATGCATAGTCAATTTTTAGCAGTGACAGCTAAACGATTAACCTTTTGACTAAGTTTGAATCAGCTATCGCGATTTAGTTGATATTGCTAAGTCATTTTTTTGCGTGTACGCGTTGTAAGCGTTATTTTATCTGTATCGCTCATTATATGCGGGAAGAAGATAGAATGATGCTTACAGCGCATAAGTGTCCAAAGCGAATGTAGCCCATTTGTTTGCTTTTAATTCTGTTAAGCAACGTAAAAAACAAGATATATTCCTGACACGGGCAGTGAAGAAATTCTTATCTATGTTTGTAGTTGGCCGGAGCTATAATCGGCAAAGGCGGTGCGAGAATCAGAAAAATCAGGTCCGACAGTGGTGCTGGCATAACTATCGACGAGCCACTGCCCGGCAGTAATGATCGTATCATTACTATCACCGGGATACCCAGTCAGATACAAATGGCCCAGTACCTGCTGCAGCAGAGGTAATTATCGCAGCACAAGATATCACAGATATATGCTATGAACTCGATTCTTAGGTATCTGGCTTCTCATCTCATGTTAACTTTATGCTCATACTACGCCGGTAATACTTGGAGTTGACCACATTTATTGTTCAAAATGCGTTATTACAAAAATAGAAAGAAGCATATTGCGGATGTTAATATTCATAATGCATACACTTAAGCTCGTGTCGTTTCTTATCGCGCGATGGAAATTCGACGATATTGTACTTCGCGTCGTTGTCGTGTACCGCGTGTCGCTGCTTTGGCGTGACTTTATGCTTATGACATAAAAATCTGCGACACACGGGAAGAGCAATTGTTAATAAAGTCGAAGCGGAGAATCATCTAGGCCACACACACACATATATATATATATATATATATATATATATATATATATATATATATATATATATATATATATATATAAATCGAATCAATTTGCAGCGCGTTGTTATCCTGCAGTAATGCGATACGCGTTTATGTATGGCCGATTCAGATCCTTCGACTTTATGTTTTCCGTTTGATCGACTGGAGCGCCGCCTCTTCTCTGCCATTCTTCTCGTGCGTGATAACAATTCCTATGTGCTCCGTATGGCCGCAGTTAATTACCTTCCGCTTCCATGCCTCGCCGCCGCGTCGCATCGGGTCATCTCATCTCACCTCCGAAGAACTAACACGCAATCCGACTAACCAAACGAATGAGAGGAGGCATATAACAGTCGCAAAGGTGGAGGAGTGTCGAAGTGGAGAGAGAGAGAGAGAGAGAGAGAGGGAAAGAAAGAGAGAGAGAGAGAGAGAGAGAGAGAGGGAGGGAGACGGACGGAAAGAGGATGCGCGCTGTGGAGAGGGAGGGAGGAAAGCTCTCTAACCCAGCGTGAGGGGAAATCGAGCGCCGTTGTATGGAAGACTAGTGATTTTGTTGTTCTACTTTCGATGTAACAAGGAATCACTAATCATCCTACAAAGGCACTCACGAACGTCGCTTCTCGAGACTTGGCTTTTGGAACTAACACCAATCCCGCTGCGCTCCGTTCGCTACGTCGTCGACGCGTCGTAATTTCACCCCCGACTAGGGTCTCTTCTTTGGCAAATATACGTTATACTGTGTGTAGTCGTAATCGTAGCCGCCGGGAGAGACGCATTGTAGAATTGCGTTTAACTGACTGTCCGGGACTATTGCTGCGACAGAACTTACGTAACCCGATTGTGCAATTTACTTATACGCTCTGATATGTGTATAATTAAGCCTGAGAGAAAACGCTATTAATCACTGTCCGACTGTATTTGTTGCATTCGCCCAGTCATCATTCAAATAAGGCTTTTTGTATCAACTAAGATGATACGGTCAGCCGTTGCTCACGCGTAACGCTTGCATCTCATTCATTCTGCGCTTTTACTTAACTCTCTGTGGGACTGCGCTCAATACGTTGAATGCCGTGCGATAGTCCACCGATAACTGTTGCACTGTGACATCGATGCGTCTTATCGAATTGTGCGTGTTAAGACAGAATTAACAACATTGTGAAGAGTCGATCTTACGACTAATGAAATTGGACAAAAAATGCATGTATCTTGAGTTGAATATCGTATTTTCGATGATTCAGTCATCAGCTAAGTTCTTGCATAAACATCGAAATACGTAGTAATTAGTATATTATTAAAAGAATATAACCGTTAACATAACCCGCAGCGATAAAGTTTTAGAAGTTAGTAGGAACGCAAAGAAGACATAGTGTATATTTATATACATATGTTATATTTTAAATCACTTATCTCTTGCGCGCTATTCCTCGCTCATTCTCCGCTCCTGACAGTTGTCTATGCGCGGACTAATCAAGACACGTTCGTTCTTTCTGTTCCAGCGTTCACGAGAATGCAGATCATTACTAAGACGTGGTGAAGGATGCATTCGGGGGGAGGGGGGAGCCAAAGATGCGTTTTCGTAACGTCTTTTTTTTTCTCTAGGCAGATAAATAAGGAATATTTTGTGGGCAAACATATGTAAAAGCGCTAAAAGCGGAACTGAAACTGAAGCACCACGATGGTACATGATGTATGCACCCGCAGAAACGAGCGCGCGTGTGTCTGCGTGCGCACGAGAAGGAGGAGGAGGAGGACGACGATCTGTATACGCACACATCACACACGTGAATCACCCTCTCCCGAGAAGAATAAAACGCTTTTACGTGGTCGATGCTAAGCGTGAGAGTAGTCTTAACGTGACAAGCCAACTGTCGTCATCATCATCACCATCATCGTCATCTTCTTAAGGGACGCGGTCGTTCGCGATCGTGGAGCTAACTGAACTCGACTCGACGCGCATCGACTGCAAACCGCTGACGTTTTCGGCCTTTCTTCATTAGCAATAGAACTCTCTCTTGTGCATCGTGTCCGAATCACGCAACACTGTCGATGTAACAGCAGAGGGGTTATCCAGGGAGTTTCAAACTGACAGGCAACCGTGCCGTGTTCCCCGACGTTTAGCATTCCCGAGCAAACGTATTTCGTCGAAGTCTAAAGAGTAATCCTTTTTTTTTACTGCTGGAGCTATTTTACAGCTAGCCTCGTACGTTTCCTTCTTTTTCCCCCGTTTTTTATTTCATCTTTTTTTTACTTATCGACACGATCTGTTGTCTCTTTCGCGGAGGACCCGAATGGGGGAGGAGGGGGATCAATTTCGGAACTATACTATAACTATATAGTGTGCCAATGGAACGATGGAGACGCGCGCGTGCGAAAGACAATTTGAAGCCGTAATACGCAAAGCACTCTTCTGAACATCGAGAGACCTGATAACGCACACTTCTTCCCGTTTGCGTTTTCTTTTGATAAATTCTTTACAGACATTCTACTTTACATTTCGTCAGTCCCTTGTTTTTCTTTTTTTTTTTTTTTTTAAGTAAGGGTAAACACGCATGTACAATGAGTGCAGGGGCGACGGTGTGTCGAATGAAGGATGAGATCACCGCGAGAAGGAGGAGGAATGTGAGGGAAAGAGGGAGGGAAGAAGATTTTACTAGACGGATATGTGGTACGAGCGAGAAAGCCAGAGTTTTGTACATAAGACCATTAACGCCCTTTCTTCCTTCCACAATTGCCACGTACAACGTTTCTGCTGTTGCATTATTATATTTTATAGTGATTATTATTCTTAGTTATTATTATTACCATACGATTATTGATAAGAATATATTTTCTGCGTTATTGTATCCCACCCGAAACCTGTACTAATGATACCTTCACCCCATAAGCGGACGCATAAGCGGTGTTCTTAGTGTTACACGCGATAACGAGATAAAAGAAAAAAAATACTTAGGATTAACGAAGAAACGTAAGTTAAGGGGGCACCATCGGCGAAGAGGGAACTGTTACTGAACGATCGTCAGTCCAGGTGATGACGAAAAAAAAGAAAAGGAGAGAGAAAGAGAGAGAAAGAGAGAGAGAGAGAGAAACAAAAGGAAAGAAATCGCAACTGAATCCGCAACGAATTCCGTCGCATTAGCAACGTAAAACTATCTCAGTAAAAATCGGCGTTTGTCGCGTGAGAGCGATCTGTTTTCTCTGATACAAGTGCGAATGAAAACACGAATGAAAATATCTTCGGCTCGTTTTTTCCGATTATCTCTCGCTCTATAAAATTACTTTCTGTATTATATTGTACAGCCTTACTAACGAGAAACGCGCGAGTCCTGGTAAAAATCGATGTAAATTTATTCTCAGACCACACACTGCGCTTGTGTCGTTGTGTGCGCTGCGCCGTATCGCGTCATAACAAAAGAAAAGAGGAAAAACAGATCTCATCGTGATATCGTCTTCGTCGATATGTAAAATCCTCATTCCGAAATCTCCGAGTACGCAAAAGAGGTGCGAAAAACGACCGAAGGTCTCGAGACAGCCGGATTCAGCATACAAACGCGTGATCTGTAAATATACATATATTTCTACCGTGTAACCACCCTGAGACACACACACACACACACCCACACACACAACTGAGTTGCTCGGTCGATCGTGCTCTTCTCTCAACGAGTAGCGCCCAAACTAGATAATTTTCCAAGTGCAATTAACACGATTGTACTGAAAAAGAAACATTCTTCGGCACGGCCGACCGAGCGATCGTGATCGAAGAACCGCCCATGAAAAGAGAAGAAAGGAAGGAAGGAAAGTAGAGAGAGAGAGAGAGAGAGAAAGAGGCGAATTCAATTCCCGGACGAGCGTACTTGCATACACTTGTCCGAGGATTAAGTCGTCAATGACACATACACACGCCAAGCTGTATTGAAAGCGAGTACAAACTCGCGGTGGATGAGAGAGCGTGGTCGATGTAATGTGACGAACGAACGAAACGACCGCCTGTACACCTCGATCGCCGTTTTTCCAATCCTTTTTCCTACCACCGATGGTCGGCCCCGAAGCTAATTCGTAAATTACCCTTTCCTCTCTCTCCCCGATCCCTAAATACACACCTAATATATATATATACACACACATATATATATATATATATATATATATATATATATATATATATATATATATATAGTCTGGTCAGTAACCGTCACCTCCCCTTACCGGGGTACCCACAAAGGGCATTTGTAAAGCATCTTGATCGCGGCAGGGTGTCCATTAACAGACGCGTACCGACCAGTAGTAGATATGACACTCGACAGTGTTTGTCGCACTTAGGATCGTCGTCGCGCCGCGGGTTTACGCGGAGCTTTATAAGCACGACTGTGCGGGACACTAACTCGGCGAGAATTGTCGCACAATTTGTTGAGCAACGCGCTGCTCGTAACGATCCCTCGTTCGCCTACGCTCTTACGCTCCTGCGTGAATTCACGCGACGCGACGGCGGGCTTTGTAGATCTTAGATATCTCCCACATTCTCATGGGGCAAGACTTCGATCGACTGTTCACGGAAGAAAAGTCGTCTGTGACGAGATTTCCTTATTTTTGTTCGAATAATCATTGAGCTTCGTTCTTTTCCTTTTGTTTTAGTTCTTCGCGTATTCTTCTATCATTGTTCAGATTGGAGTATGATGTGTATCGAATGTGTGCGAGTGTCTTTTCGACACAGCACGCGTGTCACGTCGCATTGTACATATTTTTTCTTTTTTTTTTTTAGTATTTTTATATCGATTGTTTTGTTCTGGATCGGTCAATGTAATTGTTTCGACGCGAACGGCAAGAAGAAATGTTGAGATTGCTGATCTGTGAACAGTCTTGCGAAGTCAGCTTGACCCGGCGGAAGTCCACGTGGGAGTCGCGGTTTCCCCTTTACTAAGAGACAGGCCTGTGATGCCCTGAAATGAAGTAAATCGAATCAAAACTGTTCCGCGCGAAGCTTCGTCCGCGTGTATGCATTTTTCGTCTAACAACACACACTTGTTAACTGTAACCCGTTTCACTACGACGAGGCACACAAGCACGCGTGTGAATGTTAGCGAACGACAGAGAGAAAGAAAGAGAGAAAGAATGTGTGTGTATGTGTGTGTGTTTGTGTGTAGATGCGTGTGCGAGTAACGTGTGCGTGGAAAAAATATTGTAGCCAGATATGCATTAAGCCAGTTATTAGCCATTAAGCCACAACTGGTCTTTCGGAATCGCGGCAGGATTGAAAGAGGAATAGCGTGCGAGATAACATGATCATAAATGGGAGAGAGAGAAAGAGAGAGAGAACGCTACACACTCATTCGTATCACGATGTGCGTGTACTGTATAAGATATACAGTTTACAATTATTTGTAATGGATACTTTTTATTTGTCAAATAAAAGTTAGTACAAAGCAACATGAGAGAGATGTGATCCTTACTTAAGTCTGCTTAAATAAGGCTAGATATATAGTCATTCATTATTTGCGTACAGAAAAATTCTGCATTCAAGTAAATGTTATTTGTTTCAAATATTTTACAACCTTATGTGTCCACAGATCTGTTATAAATTCATCATAAGCATGAAATTTACTCAAAATGTATTTTGAATCCTGGTAAGTTTAACATTCCAATCAAGAACATTAAAACAAAAATTTGGTTTACTTACTAGAGAATAAGTTCTTCTTTTCTCGAATTTATGATAGGTATATTTTTTTTTGTTAAAGATAACCATTTTTAAATGAAGAAAAATCACTTTTTTTTAGCAGTAAAATAATATTTTTCTCTGTGTGCGGGAAAGTAGCTCGATAAACAATCTTAAATTATAGAGCTTGACGCTATCAGGATAAATACGTCATTTTTCGCGAGTGAGTAATCGAAATTTACTCGAGTGAAGGGCTCGAAGGGCTTAATAATCGCTAGAACCACTCACCCGAGAGCTTACTTAGGGATATTGGTAGAAAATTGAGCGATGGGTAATGACCGAACAGAAAATAAAATATACTCGTCGGTCAGAGAAATTACAGGCCTCTCGTGTTGCGATACGTTCAGTCATTCGGCGATTCTCTTAGCACATACGTGCGTTTCACTCGCGAGCGTTACATGGCGCTTTCGGCAATTCGCAAACATGAAGATCCACAGCGGCAAGGAAGGTGGACTGGAAAATCTGAAACGCGGTGAGGGATGTATTAATATTCTCTGAATCCTTTCAGGCAGGATTCTACTTGAAAAGCAGAGCAATTACCGAGCCACTCGAATTCCAGTGATTGTTCACTTATATAATTACATTACAAGCAAATTTCAAACTTTTTTCACTCGTGTATGGATGAAGGATCCATTTTAAACTTGAGTGGAACGTTTATTGTATTTTTACACTGAACTTCAAGTAAATTTTCACTCATTTTGACTGGCATTTAACATGGCAGAATTTAGAAGACATAATAGCAGCTCTTGTATTTCCCATCGTAAAGTGGATTAATTTCTCGCGCGATGTTACAGGATATCACAAATGGTGGATGCTTAATATAAAAAAATACATAAGCGGATGGTTTCATGTCTATTGCAAGAATACGAGTTTGCACGGCTTTCGTTATATATCCGCGGATGGGTCGACGATATTCAAGAGTTCTCTTTGGTCTATGGTGAGAATGTCACGATGTGTCTGTGTGTGATCTCGATGAACGTAATTTAATCGTATTTTACAAAATATTACTTTGATATCGAGAACACGATTTACACGCGTTCGTTTGCCAATAGGTTTGCATATTTGCCATCGCGTTCTGCGTGGTGCTCATGCTTCGCTTGTGGGCGAATTATTCGAGAAACCCGATAGCGACCACCATCGACACGTCGAATCTGATATGGGACCTGCCTTTTCCGGCCGTTACCGTGTGCAACAACAATAAAATTTATCGTCCACACGCCGATATTATTGCCAAGCAGCTGTAAGATTCGCTAACTTTATCTCCTCTGTGCAAGGACATTTGCAACTTGTAGTATACCTGTCGAGAGATAATCGTTCAAAAAAATAAAATGTAATGTAAACTTCGCTAACTTGAAATTAATGAAACGAAAGGAAGAAATGAAGAGAACTTGCTAATGTTCTTAATCTCTTTTGCTTCAAAATATATAATCTCACCCTTGGCGGAATCCTTCTATGTTTTGGCCTCAAGATGATTTTTTTGAGACTTAAAGGAACATATTTTAACATCCAGAAGAACTCTAGTTGCAAGGTACCATTTCCTGCAATTTCATATTCTAAGCGAAAACTTTTACCGAAAGCTGAAGATCTAATGAAGAGGAATAATATTGTGCTTCGAATATTTCCCTTTTGGTTTTACAAGAATCCTTTTGAAGCCATTATAAGAGAATTTTGCTAAGGATGAGATTATTTTGAATGAGAAATTAAGGAAATTAAGAAATCCTCTGAATTTCTTCTTTTTTGTTTCATTAACTTCAAGTAGCGAAACTTACATTTGCACAATATATTTACGTTTTATTTGCACAATACATTTACGTTTTATTTGCTCGCGTATAATTCACCATGTACTGCACGATTCCGTTTGATTCGACAGACAAATAAACGGAATCGCTAAGAACGAGACCGAGAGATTTTTCACTTCTCTCCTAAAGCTGGTGCGGCCCGACAAAGTTTTGATCGACGACACAACCGCGAAACACATACTGGACATACTCGGCATGACAGTCGAGACATTGATGAGCAAGGTGATTTTCCCTCGCACGATTCATTCTGATCGATCTGACAGAGATCGTTCTTTCGCTTTGATAACGCAACAATACGAAGCAATTAACTGCGACAATATTACTGGCAGTTAATGCAGCCCTGCAGCGCGTTGTTGGTGAGATGCGCTTGGCTCGGGCAACTTTACGACTGCGACAAGATCTTCAGGACGGTGAAGTCGAGGGAAGGCTTCTGTTGCGCTTTTAACTTTCATTACGGAAAGATAGGGTAATATGTCCGCGAAAACATGTCGTTCGCCTTGCAGAGATCGTCTCGTGTTCAAAGCACATCGTAATTCTCGACAGATACAACGATGAGAGCGATCAGCAGGAGGTGCACGACAATTCCACCGGCTTCAATGTTACTTTCGAGTACCAGCCGGGCATGCACAGAATTCTGGTAAGACCCGACCTTCGGCTGCTAGTCTGAAAGACCCGCTCTGAGTATCTAATAAGAGCGCGATCGACATAACTTTTAAGCTACTTAATATAAAAGAAATATCAAAAAATTACATATGTACTACTCAATCAGCATATAATAGTTTTTATATTAATAGTCATCCAATTACTGCCGTTGTCAATTATTGCCGGACATCTTCGAAGCATACATTTTCTACCAATTTCTCGATCTCACAAAGTTTCACGAGAATCGAAGGGTGTCTTCTCGCGATAATTCGAACATTGAACATTTTCCGACACAATCAGCAAGTTCAATAATGTCGAAGCTTCCTTTGCAGAAAGCTCCAGGAAGCGGTCGCGACGTAGGACTCGCGCTCGCCTTAAATATTGACCGTTACAATTACAAAGGCTCCGTGCGGCCCTCCGTGGGCGCCTCAATTGTCATACACGACCCGGTCGATTTTCCCGACATCGGTGCGCACATCGCGTCCGTATCGCCTGGTCACGTCCTGACGATATCCGTTTCCGGCACCTCCATCAAGAGCATGGACAGCTTGCGCAACCTTCCTGTGGAGAAGCGTTCTTGCTACTTCGATGACGAGGTAGGCGCACAGCTCGCCAATCTCTTTCCATTCGTGACGCACGTTTTGCAAGGCACACTCAAAATTCTGTATATTTATGATCGATGAAACTACCAACAGGTACCTGGAGAGAGGCATTACAGCTTCCAGTCGTGTGTATCTGAATGTATAGCCGAGCTTCTGCAGAGCGTATGTGGTTGCTTGCCATTTTACTATCCGGAAAGACGTAAGTCTCCGGAGCATTGCATAATATATATATATATATTCGCGAATTTTTTTTTATTAAAAAAAAAACTACTAAATAAGCATATTTGAATATGTAATTTAAGTAAAATTTGCACTAAAAAAAATTTTTAATTATTTTTGGAAATAACGTCACAGTACCTATTGTCGTTCTGAATCTGCAGTTCTTATACGCTTCTTTGATTTGCATGATTTACGTTTGTACAGTAATCCAAAAAATGCAAAAAATTTCTTATAAAATAGTATCATAGTTATAGTCCCTTAGGCCAGAATTTTTATTTCCGTTCTAATTTTTCTTTTTATAAAATAAAATAGAAGCGAATTTTAATAAAAGAATTTAATCTCTTGAAGAAGAAATGAACAAAAAATTCAATTGACTCTAGTAATTTTCAATTATTTGGAGTTTTCTTCAAATAAATTCTTGAATATTGTTTAATTTTGGCCTGAAAAAGTAATTTACCCCCTTAAAATCTTCCATATATTGACAGATATCGGAATAAGAACGTGTTACTTGACCGACGTAGCTTGCATCGTGGCCCACCGAGGTAGGATATTAATTATATTGTGTCGTAAGGTAAACGTCCCAATTTAATGATATAATTCTCTCCTTTTTATGATTTTTTAGTTAATTCACAATCGATTCAAACCGGGCACAATCAGTATCTTTATCTTACTTACACTGGCTTATATGCTAAACTGTTCTAAACTGTTTTAGTCACCAAAAGTGACTTATAAGCCTTTTGACCACTTTTACAAACGTTTTTATCGATAAAAAAAAAGAGTTCAGAATATGAGTCATTACTTACATAATTAGGTACACGTAGTATATATCTTGTTGTATAAAATTGTGTATTATGACATCTCGAAATTTAGCGTCGCTATCGGGAGATAATATAGCGACTAAAGGACCTTGCAAGGAATGTCTTCCTCAATGTACTGATATCATGTACGGTATCAATGTGGAAAATATTAAAATGGACGTTGTGGAGTACGAGTCGGAATTAACGTGAGTCTATTCATCTTTTTCAGGAGGATTTTTCTTCCATCGATCAGATTATTTGGATTTTTAGAGACATGTGCAAGTTCACTCCTCTTTTTTACAGACATGATTTGGATCTGGACAACGTATCCATGGTATACGTATTCTTCGGCGACATCTCGTACGTTGAGTATCAGAAGGAAAGTATCCTTGGTTGGGATGGATTGCTCGGTGAGTCGAATATTAGCAGCACGTCAAAAGAATGAGAAGTATCTTCAAATTTTTAATTTCCTTTTCTATTAAAATTGCATGTATGCATCAGCATCCTTTGGCGGTATCTTCGGCCTTTGTCTCGGCGGTTCCGTGATGAGTGTGATAGAGCTGATTTACCTGTTGGTGGAGGAACTTTTCAGGCTCCGCAAGACGCAAGGATCGTCGCGTAAAGATTTGCCCCCAGCCGCGGAAGTGTTTCTTTCAATCCCCGCTGAGAAAACCCAGCTGCAGAAGCCGCGAAACCATCGGGAATTCGACGACAAGCGCGTTTACGTCACGTGGTATCAATCGAACTTTCAGCGACGTAAGGTGATGAACTTTGACGATGTGCACAAGCGCGTCAGGTTCTAAATTCACCTCAGTTCATCTCTTTCAAAAGTAAGAAATTAAACTTTTAGAATTAACTCTCCGCGTACAATATTGGGTCTGTGAAGCCCGAACAAATATTCGACCGCTCACCATTGACTAAATAAATCTTCATTTATAATTTTCTTTTCGTGTTATTTGACTCCTCAGTTGTACGGATTATAAGGCAGCGGGCTGCGATAGCAACACGGCTTCGGATACTGTTCAGGAAGTCGTGAAAACTTTGCCAGTGGTGTTGCCAGTTGGTTTGGAGGTGGTAAAGGATCAGGACAGCATGGTCCAGGTGTTATTGGACAACACCGAGGCGGAGGGATACACGGTGGCCTTCGAGGTGGAGGTTTGCAAGGGAATTCTTCAATCCTTGGAGGCAGCATTATGCTACATGATTGTGGTGTCTGTGCTTTTGGACATTTGCTGCAAACAGTGCGCTACTTAAAAATTACGACAACACTATGCCAAGAGATGATAAACTGCAATCAGGAGGAGAGGAGAAGTTCTCGCGCTTTAGCGTACAAAAAGATACTCTATTAGCCGTAATAGTTCGTTGAAGTGCAGCGAAAATAAATACTAAAACGTACTACTTGTCGATACAGCATATCAAATACTTCAACTCCTCCATATCGTTCCAGCCGGGCGGTCTCTTACTTTTGTTGCAAAGCATATCGCTTGTCTGTCAATATTTTATACTTTAATTGTTATTTTATTGTTAATTTACATTATATCGAAATTATATTGCCATGTGTCCTGTGACAGATAATTTTGCCGAATAAAAAACTGTCACGCAATGAAGTTACAGTTAAAGCAAAAAGGAAAAAGTCGATTGCAACGCGACATTCATTTTAACTTATCTTAGCTATCGCTCGAACACATTTTACACGTTACATTATATCGAACTTACCATGTGTCCTGTGACAGATAATTCTGCCGAATAAAAAACTGTCACGCAATGAAGTTACAGTTAAAGCAAAAAGGAAAAAGTCGATTGCAACGCGACATTCATTTTAGCTTATCTTAGCTGTCGCTCGAACACATTTTTTATAGACTTTGCACAGAACAATTATAACAATTAATTTTTTATGTCGTATTTAGATGTTTATAACGTGTATTATCTTCCGTTGATCCAACAAAGTCATCAAAACGATGACGTTACCCGGAAATAATAACGCCTATCGTCGATTAATGTTGCGGATCGCCATGTTTCTACCGGAGCGATTTCGCCCTGCGTTTCTGCATCCTGTGGGTAAGATATCATAATTTTCGTGCCATGAATTCTTTGAGAAAAGCCATAAGAGTCTTGAACTCATCAAGGTATCTGCGTATGTCTCGTAAAAAAAGGAGATATAAACGGTAAATATGCAGTATAACGCCCCCACCTTGGATTTTTCCAAACTTTCAACAATTTTTCAGAAATCAATTTTACGCATAAAAATATACAAATTTACAAAGTTAAAAAAAATCCAAGATGAGAACGTTATACTGCATATTTACCTCGACAAACTGACAACTGAGGAGTCAAATAACACGAAAAGAAAATTATAAATAAAGATTTATTTAGTCAATGGTGAGCGGTTGAATATTTGTTCGATACTATCCATACAGGCCCGACTACTGTATTTTTTTGGGCGCCGACGTTCAAGTGGGGCTTAGTACTTGCGGGCATAGGAGATCTCAAACGACCCCCGGACACGATTTCTCTCAGCCAAACCGCGAGTTTGATGCTCACAGGCGCTATATGGTCTAGGTACGTTATTCTTGCTCTGAACGAATCGCACGTCTCAGTTACTTTTACGACATGATCGAATTCACACGATATTAGGTACTCATTGGTGATCACGCCTAAGAACTACAATCTGTTCAGCGTGAACTTGTTCACCTGTGGTACAGCGACGTACAACTTCATTCGGGGAGCGTTGTATCACGTGCAGGAGAGCAAATGAAACATTGTCGTGGACAACGTCGGGTAGAGACTCTCGCGATAATGAAGAACGATGCGCTTTGTACAAACTCCACGTGCAGAATGTATATTTTATAAAACTATTTTACAGTGACGCTGACTATACGTATGTCGTCGTAAGGCTTGTCGGTCTTCGGATTCGTTTTCACTTGGCTGATATTCTGTACAACCTCCATGCCCTTGTGAACTCGACCGAAAACGGAATGTTTATTGTCTAGCCAAGGCTGAAACCGAAATATTGTATCAATTGTAAATTAAGATTATATCAACTGACAGATTTAGGCCTGTATTAACAGTCATTACTTGTTACAGCTAAGATTTTTCGGTTTTGAACTTAGAGTTAGATGTTTTTCGCTTGAATAGCGATTATAAATATATAACGTCGCATAAATCATATGATTTAACTGAAAAACTTGTGGACAATTCAAATCTGACTATCTTATGTGAGACAAATTTCAAGTGACGACTATTAATGCGGATCTAAGATTATATCAATTTTAATTTACATATCCTAGAATCTACATTTCGTCAACTTACCGTCGGCGTCAACGTGATGAAGAACTGACTACCATTCGTGTTCGCACCCGCGTTGGCCATGCTCAAAGTGTACGGTCTGTCGTGCTTCAGGTTCGGTCTAAATTCGTCCTCAAACTCTCCTCCCCATATACTTTCGCCACCGGTACCGGTACCGGTGGGATCGCCCGTTTGTATCATGAAACCCTTGATGACTCGGTGAAATATATGACCGTTGAAGTAGCCGTTCTTCGCGTGCACGCAGAAGTTCTCGACTGTCTTAGGAACGTCCTTGCCGAAGAGATTTACGTGGATGTCGCCGAGCGCCGTGTGGATAATCGCAGTGTCGTATATTTTCTGCATGTTCGTGGTCTCAGTGGAAGATATGATGTCTTCCTTCGATGGTTTCTCGTTGAAAACGTCTCGGTCGCATTCCTGGCTCTTCGTGTCCTCCGGTTCACGTCTCGTGAACATGTAAAAGCGATTCTTTTTGTGAGCCGTGCAGAACAACGTCGGGTCCGGCCGGTTCATTTCTATCGTAGGGTTCTCGGAAGCCTCCATCTCGACGGTCAACGCGGCGGTGGTTTTCCTCGCTTTTCCCTGTATTATTCATTTATAAGTATCTATCGATCGCGATTCGCCGAAATTGTTACATGAATTAAATACCTGGAACAGTGCTAGCTGCATCGGTCGTATGTTTTCTGGCTTCCCCATGATTTTGATACAACGGTTCGTGTAAAGATTCACCATTTTGATTCCCAACATCGTCGAATATAAAATGATATAACCAGATTCATCGAAAATAATATTCCCAAGGTTGATTTCAGTCTTGTCCAATTCCCTTTCGACCGCTAGTCTACAATATACATAACAAGAAAGAGAACAATGTAATGCTTATATGTTGAAAAGAGGATTCAACCCAATCTGAGAAAATATACCTGCGTCCAAACTCCATATTTGGGAGTTGCAGTACAGTTTTCTGCAGTTCTGTAAACCTCTGGAGCGTCTCGTCGAATATCCTGTACAGCTTACCTGTCCGAAAATTAAAGACCCGAACTTTCCTGTCACCACTGAGCGATGCAAATCGTTTACCGTCAGGCGACACTGCTAAGCCGCATGGGTAAGTCTTGTTCTTAGCAAACTCGAATAAGTCGGTGTCCAGCTTCGATTCAAACGATATGCATTTGGGAAATTTGTACTCAGTTTTCGGGCCCGTCCAGTATTCCAGTATGCCTGCCTTGTCGACAGAGATGCATGTTTCGTAGACGGGATTATACTGCAAACAAATCATTATATTACTTGTCTCGACCAAAGTACTTCATTTAAAATGATGGATACCAAACAATAAGATTATATGAAATTCAGCCTGAATTTCAATTTGAATCAATAAGATGATGATTGATTTACAATGAAATTCAGACTGAATATAACGTAGTCTTATCATTTTGTCTAAAATTTTAAGTCGTTTTATTACATTGTATAATTAGCATCTTTACTTACTTTCATGATGATGACAGATTTAGTGTGTAATTTCTCGATTATATGCAGAGGTGTGCTAGTTCCCTGACCATCATAGATGTATATTTTATTTGATTCCTGTGAGGAAACTGCCACAGCAGCAATTGCATCGCCAGCTGAATATATCCATTCAGCACAAAGTGGTATAAAGTCTAATTTTATCATATTAATCATATCTGAAACAACGATGCAATATAATGGTCAACTGAATTGCTCTCATAAATATATTAAATAAAAAAATTGAAGTTTGAATACTAAAATATTTAAATATTTATATATTTAAATTGAAGTTTAAATACTATATATACTAAATATCTATATATACTCACCAAAATTAATGACATCAAATATTTTCATAGTTTTGTCTATGCTGACTGAACACATGTGAACACCATTGCAACTGGTAGATATTGATTGTATTACCATTAAATGTGCCCGAAAGTGTTTCACAAACTCTATCAACTCTTCTTGTTTTTTCCAAAATTTGACATGTCCATCGCAACTGGCAGTTATCACAAAGTTCGACCTATATCAATAAATTTTGTTGGTAGCATGTTCATCAAGACAACAATTGTCATGTGTCAATGTATATTACTTACGTGGGATACTAACTTTGTCACTAAGATATGAGTAATGACGTCCCTGTGCATGTAAGACTTCTCGTAACACTCACAACATGGTAGGTTATCTATGTACACCTGCTCGTATTCTAGGACTGTAAAATTTAAGAAACATATTATGACTCACTCAAGAGGAATATGCAGACAAATATACATAGTTCACGTAAATATACATATATTTTAAAAAATATTTATTAGTGATAAATCAATGTGGGAAATTAAAATTACTTCGTTGTTTTTTCTGTGGTGCAGCTTCCGAAGGTAACGGCCCAATCCAATTATCTTCCGCGTCACTATCTTCATGTTCACGTTTTTTACTTGACATAATTATAATTTAATATATATTTCCAAATAATAATATAACCCCTCTCACTTCATGTGCTAGATTGTATTACGGCTTCAATACAATACAGAAAATGTATTGGCTAAATACTGTTTGTAGCCATCACTATTCTCGTTAAGGAAAGTGGCGGCTCGTAGTGGAGACTTTGGAACTAACTTACAGAAATAACGGGTTCAAGGAGTACATTAGACTCGTCATTTTTGTAAGTTAGTTCCAAAGTTTCCGCTACGAGCCGCCACTTTCCTTAACGAGGAATTAAGATAGTGATGGCTATATATAAAATATATTTATGATCAAATACTTACAGAAATAATGAGAGCCACGCACAAGCACATTCGTAACATGTTACGTTACGTTAAATACTGACAATACAATGGCCATACCTGTACGTAAACTTAAATAACGCACAAAGAAATCCGTAAACTTAACATGTTACGGATTTCTTATGTAGAGGTCTAAAGGTCATTCTACATTAGTTGCAAGTCGATTGCAACTCTTGTTGCGGTAGCCAATCAGAAGCGCCAATAGCATCATTGATGCTTCTGATTGGCTGTCGCAATAAGAATTGTGTCTGCTTGCGATCGGTTTACAACTAATGTAGAACGACCTTAATGTATTCCTTGGACCCATTATTTCTTTATATTAGTTCCAAGTCCCCGCTATTTTTACAGATGCTGTGTAGTCAATAAAACGATTCATAGTTTAGCGGAGGCTTGAAATTTAATTAAACTATTTTAATGCAATTTAAAATAATTATATTATGAAAAATATTTCATAGTATATAAAACAATTCAATGTAATTATTATAACTTCAATATGAATTATAAAGAGAAGATAATTTATTAAGACACATTGTATATCACTTTTATATTGTAATTATTATATTATGTACAATAAATTTATATTTTTGTTGTCTTATGTAAATATAGATTTAAGAAATTCTGTTCGGTCTTCCACATGTGTCTCTGCTTTCCTATTCCTGATTTCATTATCAGTATCCCTTTGTTTAACTTCAGGCAATTTGAAAATTGTTGTTTCTCCTTTCTCATTCTTCTTACATAATTTTTTACTTCTGTCCACATTATATGAGAAGAAGTTGACTTCTCTCTTTGCTTGTGCAATCTCAGTTAGAAGTCTTTGCTTATGAACTGCACGTTCATATGCTAAACGTTCACTCAGATGAATCCATTTAAATCTGTGTAAAGAAAAAAACAGAATGTTAGCTAAAAATAAATATTAATTATATAAATACTAAGAAATAATATATATTTTATACTTATACTCACCTATGTAAGTACTTTATATTCCATATCATATCATAGAATCTGCTGTTTTTCCTTGTAGATATTTGTGTATTGTTTAGAGTCGATGCTACAAATTTGGCTACCTTTTTACTTTCAAACTCTACCCAACCTTCAGTAAAGTGTTTAATTGCTTTTTTTCGCTTCTTATGTTTCACTGATTGTACTTCTAAAGAGAAAGATTTTACAATTTTTAAAATAAAATACAATTTTATTTGTGGTTATTAGGTTAAGATAATTTTGACTTTTGTCATTTTTTAAAGTTCTTTAGTTGCATGAAAAGCTTTGCAATAAATAAGAAAAAGATATTATAGTTCAAATTATGTAGAGTTACCCATATTTACAAAAAAATATATGGAAAGAACATTTAGGATGTACCGTTCTCATCTAACTGCAAATACACTCTGTCCAATTGTCCATAATTTGAAAATATTTCCCGAATCATTGTGACGTTCATAAATTTTGGTATAGTGGACAAATATATTATTCCTTTCTTAAGCTTTTTGCCAGGTTTTTTCACTGCTTCGTTCATATTTATATTTTTATTCTCGAACTGTGTACTTTCCTCACTGAAATATAAAGCCTGTTCTTTGTAGCTGCACTGCTGAACTAATGCAATAAGTTATAGCGTGTTCGACTGGCTCTGAGTTAACCCACTCTGGGTTATTCAATCTACGTTTATTGGTCGAACAAGTACTTATAAGCTTTATGATTGGCTAGTAGACACTTATGACATCATTAGTCACTCTCGGAGCGATTAACTCAAGACCAGTCGAACACGCTATTAATTGCTCCGAGAGCGATTAATGGCATCATAAAGATCTATTAGCCAATCATAAAGTTTATAAGTACTTGTTTGACCAATAAACGTAGGCTGAATAACCCAGAGTGGGTTAAACCCAGAGCCAGTCAAATATGCTATTAGAGTGAGAAAACGTATATTTGTCTCACTTCAACATATTGTACCAGTTCAGCAGTGCAGCTACAAAGATCAAGCCATTTACCTAGAACGCGCGCTACTTCTTGAGTTTTGCGGGATGAGAGAGATCATGCTTGTAGGGGGAGCGTCCCGATTGACCACGGTACAATTGGACACAACCAACCGATGCAAAGAATTATCTAATGAATTACTAGGTCGAACCAATCATTATAATCTGGGACCTTATACGGTCCTGTGTGAGAAGCGAAAATGCGAAAAGTGAACGAATTTACTAGAATATTTATAATTTCATTGGTCAATATCTAGTGAATTCGTTCATTTTTCGCATTTTCACTTCTCACACAAAACCGTAATAAGCTCCCTGTGTTCAATCGTACTGTGGTCAATCGGATCCCACTCGTAAGTTTTAAACCTTAAGAAATTGACCAATCACAGTCAAATTTGAAGAAAATAATCGACTGTGATTGGTCAATTTCTTAAAACTTAAAGCTTACTACACCTATTGTGGCTCGGGACTTATGATATTTGTCGGAATCGATTCCGATCGGAATAATTCCGTTTTCCCTAGAAAAGACAATAGAAATCTAGGAAATAACTGAATGTTTCCGATCGGAATTGATTCCAAAGAAGTCCATAATAGGTACTCTCATTAAAACTCGCGCTGATAGAAAAACAGAAACTATTGGTCGCGTTTAGCAGAGAAAGCTGCTTTGCAGATTCGTGAATCTAATTGGAGTATACTCTTAATTTTGGTTAAATTCAAGAGCATGTACCAATCAGATTCACGAATTTTACAACAGTTGCAAAGCAGCTTTCTCTGCTGAACTCAGCCGTTGATTACGATCCGATTGCTAGCGCAAATTCTAATTGGCTTCTGACTTTCTGTTTTCTGTTCTTCTGTGAAAACGTGAATTCGTTAGAAGCAAGAATTAAACAATACGAAAGTTAACCAACCGTAATTAATTATTCTGGACATAAGGAGACATCGTCGATTGTAATTGGACTGGAATTATGTGCAGAAGCTATTCTGGCTACTTTATATATAGTTACTTTATATACAGTTACTTTATATAGTTACTTTATATATAGTATAGGACCTTTATATATAGTTTGTAGTTTTCTGGAATAGAGCAGAAGAGCGATAATGGCTGCTTGGGCGAGAGTTGTTCGTACATTTACCCGAAAATATTCGGCCGCTGCTGGCGAAAACCAGCATGCTACTGGTAAATAAATGAAACTATTAATAAATCAATGTTTTATTTATGCATCTGTGAAAAAAATTCTGTGATTTATACAAAATACTGTCTACGTACTTGAACGATACTATCACTGTTGAGCAATATCGTTTTTATTAAATATTACTGTCTAACGTTTGAACATTACAGTCTATACGTAAACAATGTCACGGTAATCTATATGCTTTGAATGAGGAAAATTGTGTGGAGATCCTCAAGTAAATCACCTGTGTAGGTTATGTAATACCAATACTGTGTGCTTTACAGAGCAGTCTATGATCATGTGGAAGAGGCTCTCGTTTTTCGTGGGTTTTCCATGCATAGGTCTGGCTATGCTTAATTCCTACCTGAATCATCAGGCCCATCATCATGATCCACGCCCAGAATTCATTCCGTATGATCATTTGAGAATAAGAAACAAGGTATGTATTTAATGTTTAATATAGAAAACAGATGTAAAATTTTGAGACTCAATGTTTGTCAATCTTTGATTTTATATTATTTATTTCTAATATTACTTTCAGCCTTTCCCATGGGGAGATGGCAATCATAGTCTTTTCCATAACCCTAAAAGGAATCCCTTACCTGATGGTTATGAGGAATAGAACTTGACAACATTTAGTTCATAATGATTATATTTGCTGTTAGCATTCTATGTAACATATATCCTGCTTTGTATTGCCTTACAAGCACAGTTAAGTCAATAAATTAGTAAGGAAATACGTAATAACTTTTTCATATTCTTATGATTATTACCATTATATTTATATTACTGTATTACTGTATATTATGTAACAAGTTTTTTTTAAATATTGTAATATGCTTCACAATAATATAATATCCTCCTAGTATAATTCTAGTTTTGCCACATATAGAAATAAAAGAGAAAGAGGGAGAGAGCACAAGAGAAAACTTAACATCAATTCTGTCAATGCATCAAATTGCTGGAAGAAACCTGTTGAAACAAGGTATGATATGTAAACATATATTTATATAGGATACAGGATTTGGTTCAGAGAAAACGAGTGTGTATTGATGTTTCCTCTTTTCCTTTTTATTTTACAAATGTATAAAATATTTACAAAAAATACAAGTGTATAATTACAATAACAATCACTTTACGCAACTGTTCTTATGAATACTTTTCAAAAAATATCTTATTTGTATGACTATACAGGCACTACTACTATTCTTATCGTCCTATACTATGTAGTAATTTATAAAAAATCGTCAATATAAAAGGAAGAAAGTAAATATAAATTTTAATATACTAAATATAAACAACAACAAAGTATTAATTATAATATACAAATAAAAGAAATACTGCTTTAGAATGTGAGCTGAGATGCTCTTTGGATCAATCATAAGTCATCAATTAGGCAAATTAATCAGGTAAATTCTGATTGTACGGCTTACAGTGCTTATGGTGACTTGAATACCAGTGCAGTTTCGAGCAACGCTCGGAGCAATAATAAGCTGCCAAACAATTCTCGCAGCACACAGTACTGTTACGTTTGCAACGTAAACATGGTACGTCTTCCTCGTTTACGATTTCCGAATTATTGTTTGAATTGGATGATTCCCTCGCCGATTCTGTATCCTCTCCCTCGCCGAGTATATGCAGTTGGTCGTCCTGGGACAAAAACGTATTGGAATCCATCTTCTCGAATAAAGTCGACGATATATTGCAGATATTGATGATATTCAGTTTCAAGGTTTCATCTTCGAGTTCTGTGAAATTATATGCAACGACATCATTCTCTACAAGAATATCGTCTTTGATGATGATGTCTTTCTCATATGTATCTGCGTCGCTGATTCCTTCGTTCTTTATGAGGAAAGCTTGCGGTTCCTCGCGATGTCTTGTCTCCGACGAGTGATCAAGTTGTTCGTTATTTGTTTCAAGCTTAATGTCAATAAATGCCGTCCCTTTTTCCTCATCCTCCGATAGCGTATCGATCGATTGCGTATCTCTCCATTGACCACACTTTTCCATATACCATACCCGTTCCGAAGTTTCGAAATCTTGAGATATTTCCAAGACTTTCTTCTCCTTTGGCATCAATTGTTCGTTTACTATCTCGTAATGGTGCGCTTTGGCATCCGGTGGACTTTGGCACAAGTCAATCGGGTTTATTTCTATAACATCTTCCGACAGATTTTTTAATTTCTCAGTTTCATGCTGTATTACGTTGACCGGTTCACATTTTTTCACAGAAATTCTATCACTCTGCTCTTGCCGCACATTTGAACCGGGCTTTTCCTTGCATTCGTCAGTAGAGTTCTGTTTTATCTCTGTATCTATTGACGGCTGTTCAACAGATTCAATCGAGTTTATTTCTATAACATCTTCCGACAGATTTTTTAATTTCTCAGTTTCATGCTGTATTACGTTGACCGGTTCACATTTTTTCACAGAAATTCTATCACTCTGCTCTTGCCGCACATTTGAACCGGGCTTTTCCTTGCATTCGTCAGTAGGGTTCTGTTTTATCTCTGTATCTATCGACGGCTGTTCAGCAGGTTCCTGTTTTACCGACTCTGCAGTTCCGTCGGGCTCCGCCGCGCCATCTCGCGTTTCCGTTGTCGAGTCTTCGCGCGACGGATCCTCTCGCGGCACGTTTGATTTTTCGAGCAATGGTGCCGGGCACAATGTCGACGTGTCTTCATCCCGCTGTGGCGACTCTACGAGTCCGGAAGATGATGTCTCCGTTGTCGCGGATTTCGACAAATTTGACGTTCCGAGCGACTCTTCGTTTTGCGGTCTCGTCGACAAGTCCTCCGGCGTTGACTTCGAAGCGTTCGACTTGGTATCGTCTCTCAGACACTGTATCGTCTTCTCTAGTCTCTTATCGCGCCTCAACTCTGTCATCTTCTGTTGTCCCGCAGATTCCTTTTGTTCCCGGCAAGGGAGGAGCGACTGTGCTTCGTCTTCTCGCGTCAATTCGGTAGCTTGTTTTTCAAGAACGAGCTTGCTTAAGTACTTGCTCAGAGAGTCGTGAAAGCAATGCAGCAAGCTTCTGTCCGATTTCCACGCCTCGAGTTGCTGCTTTGTAAATATGTGCAAGAGTGTCGTCAAAGACATTTGGAAGTACGTATCCAAATGACTCTGAATTATTAATTTCTGAATATCCGTGAAAACATTTAAGTTGATATGCGCCGCCGATTGCGACAATCCTTGCGCGGTCGGTGTAGATTGCGCTGTATTCTGCATCTCGCTGTTAGACGGATTACTAGAGAGATTAGACCGATTTTCTGAGATATTAGATAAGAGGGTGCGAAGATTGGAGGTGTCCTCGGTGACGACAGTCGTTTCTACTTTCCGCTTTTGCGAGAATGACTTCGTCGCGGGGTTCTCCTGCGACGCGCTCGTCTGCGCGGACTCGTTCACACGTTTCATCAACACGTTTTGCGCAACTTGCATGCTGCTTCTCGCCGAGGACGTTTCTTTCGTATGACTCGACGAAGTCGCCTTCTTCTGCGAGACATCCAACGATGCTACAAGTACTCCCGCGTCGGTTGTAGAATTTTGCGGGATGTTTCTTCCGAAAAAAACTGGATTCTTCAGAATTTCTTGGCGCGTAAGTTCCGAGCGCGTAGTCAGTGTTTTGGCCGTTTTCGATTTATGGGTGTATTTTCGTTTCTGCGTTTTCACGTTGCTCAGGGATTGCTGCGTGTTTGATGGTATATTAGTTAACGGATTGGACGACACTGTAGAAATTACATTTGCGAGAAAGTCGTTCTGTCGTAAGGATCTTGTCTTCTGCGAGGTCTGCTGCATGGCAATTGATGCTGGTGCAACGTTCAAATATTTTGCCGTAGCATCGTACATAGTGACACGCGATTGCTGATCGACATTCATACGTTGATACGTGGCTTTTGTTGCGCTTATTTGCAACGGATTTAAGCCGGTTATATGAGACTGTGGTTGATTGTTCAAAACGGAGTAAGCATGTATATTATATTGCGGAGATGGTATTCGATAAGATTGGCGGATTTGCGCCTGTGAGTTTATGAAATGATTTCGTAGTAAATGCGGTGCGGTGAGGGCCACAGTGTAGTTCGGCATGGTGTTCTGAGTTATGGGAGCTGTGAAAATAATCTTTATGTTACGTATGTTTGGCTGGTAAGAAGAAAAGTAGTTTTCGTGAATAAAACTAAGAACCTTGTGAAAATTTCGATAAGAATTGACAGACATATATTTTATACATTTCATTGAAATATATAATTTTTTTACTTGAACTTATCATTTCCATCCGAAATTTCAATTTCTAATATATTTCTAATAAAAAAATGATAAATTCCTTTGGTTTCATATCGCGACTTACTTTTAGCGATTAAATATACTATACCAAACGATTAAATAATGATCTTAATACATATGTCTTTCTATATTTTATCACATACACATTAATTAATTAATTAATTATATCATTCATATCAAAAAATACAATTCAGTCATATGTATTATTCTTATCTAATTCTATGAAATATTTTGAGTAAGAAAGAGCATACTTGATCCATTCGATTGTTGTTGAAAGTTCGCTTGTTGCTGCGCGTTCGGAATGAATGCTGTTGCTTTGCTGTTGTTTCTCAAGGATGCCATCCATAGTCCTTGTTCTTGTCTGACATTGTCACTTGTAATCGTACTTGTAGGCAGTGAGATTGGGTTTCTTAGGTTAGCGTAGGATGGATGGGGACTGACGTTTTCTGTGCCTGGTAGTGACATATGGAAATTGGGATATTCCGGATATCCGGGATAAAATTGTTGCTGGTTGCTGACGCTTAACTTCTCTCTCAGCGGCTCACGTGAGCTGTGCACCGCGACATTCGTACTTTGTGATGTTTGATTACTATTCAATACCGGTAAGGACAAATGTGGCACATGTGGAACGTTACTTACGTTTCCCGAGGGTTGAAATCCAAGTCTGTCGAGTTGCTGGTACTTTTCCATCATTGCGTGCTGCCTTGCATTTAATATATGTGATGTTATGTGAGGATTATTTATCAGAAATTGTTGCTGGCTGATGCTCGTCGTCGTTGAACCCGACGGTATAAATCCCAGTGCAGTTGCAGTATTATTCAAGTCACTGTTCGGTACAAATTGAATATTTTTTATATTAGCCGAGGATTGTCGTTGCTCAATATTTCCCATCGCTGGACTCGATCTAGGCACACGTAGAATATCGCTTGTATTAGCCGATAATCGTTTTATATTTGCCGTTGTCAATGGAATTGACAGCGGCATATGCAGAATATTGTTCATATTATCCGATGATTGTCGTCTGACATTTACTGTCGCTGGACTTGGCTGCGGTATACATGGAATATTATTGATATTTGCTGATGATCGTGGTTGCCCGATATTTCCTGTCACTAGACTTAGTTGCTGTATATGTGAGACATTACTTGTACCAGCCGATAATTGTTGTTGTTCCATATTTGTCGTTATCTGACTTGGCTGCGACATATTATTTGTACTATTCGATGATTGTTGTCGCTCAACATTTTCCATCGATGCACCTGGCTGCTGCATACGGAGAATATTATTTGTATTATCTGAAAAACGTCGTTGGTTAATGTTTAGTGTCATTCTTTTTTATTGTGGCGGATTTAAAATATTTGTTGTATTACCTGAGGATCGTTGCCGATTGATACTGGTGGATGGCGAGTTCGTTTGCGGGATACGTAGAATATTCGTGTTATCCGCGAGTCGTGATAAGTTAATAGTAATGTTCGGATTTAGTTGCGATGTTTGCATATAGTCCATGTTACTCGAAGATTGGCGTTGGCTGGAATTTACAGTACTTTTCTGCCTTTGCTGCAGCATACTTGTAGCATTATTCATACTGTTTTCGAATCGTTGTTCGTTGACAGCTGTTCCTGTCGCTTGATTTGGGTACCCCATATGTGAAGTCGTATTTCTTGTTACTTGTGTTCTGATATCTGGTATCTCTCCGCCTGTGATCGATCTACTTTGAACACTTTGAGACTTCTGTGACTGTGAAGACTTCTGTGCGCTAGTACTCGCCATCGTATTCGTCCCACTCGCAACTACTAGCGACCGATTGTCTCTGATATTGGACAAATTGAATATTTTGTTAATTTCTTCAACTGACGTCGGACAATTTTGTAACATACTGAAGTTGAGTCTGTGCACTGCGTAATTGATGGTATCATATTTATACATATTATTCATAGTCAGGAAAGTTTTCAACTTCATCATGTTATTGTACAACGCTATTGTGATTGCTATCATGTCGGGAGTTAAATTTAACTGATTGTTAATATTATTATGAAACAATCCACGACAAGACATGATAAGATTACCGATACTGCTAATCAATTGAATCTCTTCATTCGACTTGTGCTGACCGTACAAATTTCCAGTTGATGTACACGTGGTGGTTGAAAAACTCGTAGCAACGCTCGTGGTAATGAAACTTGTATTCGTTAGCAGAAATCCTTGGGACACTCGAGGAGATGCGACGGTGGTAACTGAGTTTGCGGTATCCGATGTGCCTGCTACAGTAAGATTTACGGATGTCGGAGTGCTCCAGCCAGATTGCGTTTTTGCAGTGAGGCATTCTTTCAAGATCTCTTCGTTATGCTTTTTTGATTCACTCAGAGAGCTCTTTGGTGGTAATGTTTTTAGATCAGGCACGCTGCATACAGAAGTACTCGATTCAGTGCTATTCTTCGCTGAAATCGACGCTGTCTGTAATAAGCTCTCTCGCTCCACGGACTGCACGCACTGATCATTTCCCGCTTCATTGCGCTCCATCACATTTTCCCTGTCGTTGATTGATCGCAAATCATCCTGAAAATCCTCTTGTTGCAGAGGGCGATTAATACTGGTTTGAGTAGCATGATTAGAATCATATGAGACTTGTTGAATGCTCGACATTGTCTCGATATTCTTGGTAGTAGTAACTTGATTAGTATTCAATGCTCCTTCCGATGCATCGTCTTTCTCCGTCCTGTTTGCATTCGCACTCGCAGTTATTTCGGAAGAAATTTCTAAGATCATACGACGAAAGTTGTTTTTAAGATTGTTGAGATTGTACTTGGCTCTCGTGGACGGTGGAATCTTCAGCGTGAACGTCTCACTCGTAAATCCCGCTTTGGCCTTGACCTTGATCTCCAGTTGAACCTCATTATCAGTAATGTCATTTCTCAACGATTGAGGGTTACTGGTATCTGTAGAGGGTTGATCTGCAAACGTATTCGTGCCAACATTTTCGTTGACGTTATATGCCTCGTCTCTGCTTTCTTTCAAAGACGTCGGTGTTAAACTACGATTGACTACCACATTGCTCGCACTAGAGGTATTATCCTTTGATGATAGAATACTGTCAATGTTTGTAAATTGGGTTACAGAAGCGTTGTCTACGCAAGAGTCTTCTCTGACAGTACATGTCTCATCTTCCCGGACACTTCCCTTCTCTAACATCAATTCGTGATCAGTCGTCATAGTGTTAGTGTTTTCCGAAAAAATATCATTCTTCATTAATGTTAAATTAACAATATTGCAATTATCGTTACTTTCTCTGTCTTTGATGTCGGAGACTAGTTTATTAGAGAACAAGTTTGATAAAACCGCGCTTGAATTCGAGTCTTTGTGCACATTTGCATCTTTGTCGGACGAGAAGTTACTCTCATCAGTGTTACATTCCTGAATCTCCCTCAATATTTGCTTGACTTCGCTACTCCATCTGTCATTTTGTTCCTCTCTCTTGAAAATGTTTTCTATCACATTCATCAAGTTTTGTCGTAAAGTCAAAAGTAACTCTCGCATTTCGTCCTTACTTATATATTCCTCCATATTTACTTTAGCTACTTTTGCAGCTACCTTTGAAGCTTCCTGCGTATCTGTTTTAGCTACGAAGACTTCTGCAGATATGTCATTTTTGCTGATAACATTTTTTGTATCATCAGCCACAAGAGGATTCATCTCGTGCTCCATTTTCACCGGGCTCTTGTCCTTTACGTCTTTCCGCGAGTCGTCAACATCGTCTTTATACACCGACATGTCATCGTTCTCCGTGTCTCTCTCCTCCGTACTGCACGAATCGATGGATTTTTCTTGTACGACAGATTTTGACTTTAAAAACGCGCGCTCCTCCTCGCTCTCGCTTTTAGTGATATTTTCGCCGAATAAGTTGCGAAATAAGCTTCGTATGCCTTTGAATGTCTTCGTCGTTTTCATTTTGCTTAACGCGCGCATGTCTTTTTTTCTTTTTGTGTATCTCTTATTTCTTCTTTGAATTGTCCATTGCTCTTTTACGTTATCTTCAATAACGCTATCTCGCTCATCCTCGGTGGACTCGTCGTAGACCGATCTTTCAGTATTACTAGATACTTGAATATCACTGTTTGTCATATTTACATCTGCCAAGGTATCTGTCTGGTTCTTTTTCTGTATCTTTTCCAGTAACGTGTCATCTTCATTTGAAGCCAGCTTTCTCTTAACTCCCGTCTTGTAGTCGATGTTCATTTCCCGTGTAGATAGAGTGTTTCTACGCCGGTCTGTGCTCTATAAGTTCAATGTTATTGAAATTATGTTTATCCTTACGGGTATAAATAATGATGAGTTTACCTGCTTAGCTAGCGACTTAATGTACCTGAGAAATCTGTACGTGTTGCGTCGAAGTAGCCGTGACTACATTATTATTCACAACGGCTTCTGCCTCTGAATATGTTTTTGTTCCCGAGATTCTTGAGTCACTCGACAAGTCGAGTTTGTTATTGCAGAAAATGTTGTCATTAGTTTCAAAGTCACAATTCTTTACAAGCGTGTCTAACGAACCGGTTGTCAACGAGGAACGTGTCGAGTTTGCGTCATCACTTCGCTTCATTTTCATTATTTCTTCGCCAGAACTATTACCTGTTTAAAAGTTTTTTTTTTTAGAATGAAAATAATTTTTTGACATGAATATTAATTTAATTCCCGGCGAGAAATCTTTCTGCTTGCCGAATATACTTGTCTTTTGCATGCAAATAATGCTTTATCTACGCGGAAGGTAGTTTAATTTTCAAACAAAGATCCTTCTTACAATCTGTCGATTCCTCTTGAATGTCGCTTAACGATTTTCCTTCGAATGAGCTGCACTTAGGGATGTCTCTTGTAGAAATTTTATCAGCGTTCGCTGTAGCACTCGACGGCAAGATTTCGACCTCCTGGTCTAACTTAGAATCGTGGTTCTTTTTCTTAGACTGTGTTGTAGCTGAATCTTGCGTGTTTCTCAACGATCCTTTTGTCAAGATATTTTCTCGATGTTTACCGTGTCGAGTTTCGCTTAGTAATGAAGCAGAATCTCGACTATCGTCGCGCTTCGACCGAAGCGTTTCTCTGTTTAACCGACTCTGTTTAGACGACGATTGTTGTGTTCTGAAACGTATACAACAACATTACTCCAAATATTACATATATATGTTAGAGCGAACTTTGCAACATACCCACCACAGTAGGCTGATTCTTTAATTTTATAACGACAATGTTGTTATAGCATCGCTGTCGTATATTCTAACTGCGAAACAGTAACATAACATAACGATATCGACACTATCGCTAAAAGTTACAGAATCGACCTACAAATCAATCTTGTTGAGTGATATGTGCTAATCTTAACTAAATAATGTTATCTAACAGAGATGGACACTCCAGAACTCTCTTATCCCTTGCTTCCCTCAAGCACTCACTAATTATCACACTGTAAAGATCGAACAGATTCTTAACAGTGCTTAAACGTTTGACTTTATCTCAATTTATACGCTACCATGTATGTTCGTCGGCAATCGATACGCAGTTGTAGAACAGACGAGTGAGACTTTCCAAATCACCTGAAATCGGAGAGATACTCGTGTGTACGATTGTTCGAAGGTACGGCCGAGCACTCCGTTCTCGATTCATCAGTGCTGTCATGATCAGTCCGGCGTCTTTTACACACGAATTCGCATCTCGATGCAGATTCAGCTGAAAATCCTCGAAGATCTACGGCCTCTCTATTTAGATGATTTGTGCTCGTTTCGTTCGTGACATGCGACTCCACATCGATCGGTGAGTTCGCGGCATCGAGTTTCGCATTGAGACGATGACGATGTCGCGAATCGGCGCTCCGATGGCGATGTTTGTTGTTGGAATGATGGTCATATTCTGCCATCGTCCTGTCTTATTACAATAAAACCATTAGCCTCATGCTTTAGAAAAATTGTATCGATTCTAAGCCTCAAATCCTAAGCTTTAAAAGATGGGAGTTGACCAACTCGCTTAAGGTTTAGAGCTTAGAGTTTGGGGCAGCGCGAAAAAAGGCCGGGAATGCACCACAATTTCGAGTTTAAAACAAGATTTAGGGCTTAAAATACCTGTTGTAGGATCTTAGGAAAGAATATTAGTTGCTCTGCGATGTTGCTATCGTGTTTGTCATAGCGTCATCGTGGCATCTACTTGCCGGATTAATTTGATATATATCTACAAATTATTTGTATTTTAAGAAAGATAGTATATAGCACGATCTAATAATTATTACTCTCAATGTGATTATAATTTTTTTATTTTGTGTGAGAAGAGGAGGGGATTTATATTCTACATGTTACGTAACATTGGAAACTTTGTGATGTCGAAGTTGGACGAAGGAGAAAAAGATAAGAAATATTGAAATTCTGCATTACGTAATTTTTGAATGGCTTCTTATTATAGTTTCTGCGTTCTCACTATGGCCATTTTGATTAATGATGGGAGAAATCTCAGAAGCGAAAGAACATATTCTTGAAATACTCACCAGTGTTGCTTACGCGTGTTTTTGACACGTAAAACTAAGGCCACGAACACGATGTGTTTTAGTAAAGAGGATGTTAATTAGATATGATAGCAAAGTAAAATCGCTGAATAAGCTCCATATTCCTCGCCGCTCCGTACATCCGTTGCAGATATTGGATACCGCTGAAACGACGAAATTGAAATACAATTGACTCAAAGCCAACTAGTTTTCTTAGGGAAACAGGAAGAATCGAGATCTTATATATTTTTTCATTTTAATTTTGGAACGAGAAAGAAGTAAAAGAAAGAACTACTTTGTGCATCAGTAATGAGTCAGTATGTGGATCAGTAGATGTGAATGCAAAATATAGATGCCGATTCATATGAATATAGAAACAAAGAAATGTTTTTGAGTGAGTCTGTCTGAGAGTGAGTAAAAATCTAAAGTGCAAAATATACTACACAAAGTCCAGCTACCCGCGTTTGTGACGATAGGATTAATAGTTTCTATGCGTCTTACGCGCAATAATATTGAATAGTCGCCCGTTATTAACTATTCCTTTCAAGATTTTATAGATTTGCAATGTTATAGTTATAACTGAACCATTTATAATTACAGTTATAATATTGTAATTATAATTAAATACTGTATTTATAATTACAGAATTTAATTTTAATTATAATTACAGTATTATAATTGTAATTATAAATGGTTTAGTTATAACTATAATATTTCAATTTATAAAATCTTGAAAGGAGTAGTTAATAACGGGCGTCTATTCAATGTCACTGCGCACAAGGCGCATAAATTCTATCTTCATGAACGCAGGTAGCTGGACTTGATGTAGTGTATCATAGATTTTGCACTTTAGACTTTTACTGACTTTACTCACTCAAAAACATTTCTTTGTTTCTGCATTCATGTGAATCGGCATTATTGTAATTATAGTTATAATTATAGTATTTCAGTGAAGAGTGCACTGATTGTATTTTAGAGAATACCCTCAAAAAGCGAGTCACAAAGAATGCTTCTGTTTGAACTAAAAATTAATTGTTGAATAAAAATAATATTTCGCTGACATCCAGCGAATATTCACTGATTTTCATTAATTCAAATGAAAGAGACGCAAAATTACTAATTATTTTTACATAAACTTGGGGCGAAATTATTCATATATCGTTAAGTCGCGCGTTCTTATATAGCGCTGAACAATTTCACCTTTCGCTTCGTCGATTATTTTTGGAATACATTCTTGCGAATCCGATTACGCTGACTTCATTGAACACCTCGCTATCGCACGTTGAGCGAAAAAAATTCTACTAATCACTTAACGTAATTTTGTAACAAGAAAGTACCAGTGAACGTCCGTCCAGTAGAAGTGATTCTTTTATACTGTCCGTTTTGCACCCTCGGTGAGTTACATTCCAACCGAGTGAAATAAATTGTGGGAAGGGAGGGGCGTGGAGACGAGCTCCGAAAGGTTGAAGCGTTTAAGAGGGACCTACCACTATCGCCATCATCGTTTCTGTTATTGCTATCTTGAGTTATTAAAATTAATACGTCTATCGTTCGTAAACTAAACATTAGAGATTCGGTTCGGTATTATCAACGAGAAAGAAGTTAGCGCAGCTCGAAATCTGATGCTGAGATATGGAGTGGCATAAGCAGAACCTTCACTGCTGCTATTTCTACGAACGTGCGCTATCCTGAACGTAAATCACGTTCGAGTCGCATGACATATGAATATATTCGCGATAAGAGACTTTTAACTGCCTGTCAAGAACCACGTATGAGTTCGTCGTGAACTGTACCAGCGCTCGGTGGACGAACTGCTTCGGTAATTCCAACTTCTCCAGGTCATCTTTCAACTGAAACAATCGTCATTGTAACATCGTCGAGATTAAACTCTTAGACCAAGTTCCACAACATCCGTTTAATTTTAACTACCGGTTAAGTCCCAATAGTAATTGGTTAACTCTTCTTAATGTCAAATGCGATTGGTCAAGTCCAATGGAATAACCAGCCAGTTAAATTAACTGGAAGTTGTGGAACTGGGTCTTAAGCCCGTATCAGATTACCGATTTTTGCGTCACGCAATTTCACAGTCTCGCCTTTGTCTCGTCGTCTCTCATTCTCTTGTTCCGTCGTTATCGTTATCTTATTATAATCCAAGTTGCTCTTCACTTACAACGACCATCCTCGAAGTGTCCGTCTCCGATTTCGATGGAACTTGGCATATTTGTAGAATAGCGAAAAATAATGGATTTGTATTTTTTTATATTATATAACAACATAATATTAATAACAGATAATATTGTCGAATAAAAATTAATCGAAAAAATGAAAAAAGCTGAAGCGTCTCAATAATATTAAACTGTCAGAAAAATATTCGAAATGTTTAGCAAATATTGATTGATATTGTTTAGGCGATAAATCCACAAATCAACAAGTCGAAGGCATTTTATTAGATTAAATCTTATTTATAAAGCTGATATCACGCGCCTATCTTCTTTCATTTTAACATTTCATATGATTGTTAGTAAAACACACATCTATTATGTGCAGGTAAATTAAGTTAAACTCAACATAAGATTCTTCTATCATTTTACAAACAATTACGTAAAATTTTTAAATATTAGTAAAAGAAGATTGGCTTAATGCACGCGACGCCGTGAGGTGAGCTCTGTAAGCACTATTTAAAATGTAATATCTTTCTGATAATTGTGTTTGATGTTTTTTTGACTTTACAGTTTATTAATTCGATAACGTTATTATATTACTAATATTGTAAACGTTTGTGCAATAACGATATAAGGCCTGTTCTTTGTAGCTGCACTGCTGAACTGATGACAATATATTGAAGTGAGACAAATATATGTTTTCTCATTCTAATTTATTGCACTGGTTCAGCAGTGCAGCTACAAAGAACAGGCCTATAGATACGTAAAGGTAGAAATACTTTGAAACACCTCTTGCTAAACAGTAAAGTGATTTTAACGCGTCAGTAAAAAAGTGGATGTTACTCCGTTTAATGTTATCGCGTTGCTTCTGCCCGCATTTAATATACAAGACAAGCAAGATACGGTGAATATTTATGAAGAAGAACTGAAAGATTATTTATTAAATATTATATAGCAATGTATGGAAAGCATCGTTTTTCTTGTAGAGCAACAGACATAACTGGGAATTGATAAATCTTACAACGTAAGTAATTTTGAAGATATTGATACGGATTAGTTGGACGAAAATGAAGAAAACAGATCATCTTATTACATAAGGTATGAAGAAGAATTTCTAATTTGCAAGAGAATCTGTCGATTTTGAGTACAAACATAAAACGCTCGAATAGTGGAATAGTGGTAAAAATGAACGACTGCAAGTGTGGATTTGTTCGTGCTAAATTGAAAATGGTAAAATCTGAAAAAACAATTATGCAGGTGGCCGGCTAATGTTGAACAGGTAGATTCACATAAAGAAAAAGTGAAACGCATAACTGAATACATGTTTAAAAAATGTATGTAAGCAAGAGAATTTAACATTATTATACATGACGTTCGATCTTCGATGATGGGCCTTGCAAGCGAAAGTAACAGAAGATTTATTATCATATAAATCTGGTCATATGTGGCTTTGAAACTTCAAAAAACATTTTGGAATTGTGTTAAGGAAAATTACAAGATTCATTACGAAAACAGCGGCACGCAATGAAAAAGATCGATTTTCAAAGCAAAGAATTTTTGGCTGCTATTAAACCGTACATTGCGAGAGAAAGACTCGCTAATGTGTTGACATCATGATTTCAAATCGGAGTCAGACTTCGCAGATGTTCCTTGTTAGTAACTTTTCATCAACAACTATCACACCACAAAAAGGTTAGTTTATTCACGAATAAGATAACAGAGGGTGAAGTGAAGACCATAAAATATCATGCGCATTATATACCTAATTTTTATATTTAAAAATATTATATTCTATAAAAATAACTTAATTTTGTATGTTAATAATCTAAATTTAAATTTTGAAATATCCCTTTTTTTAAAAACAAACAACTTTTACCAATTACTAATACTAAAAATTATAAAATAAAGTAATTAATTAAAATGAAAGGATGAATGCATAAAATGATACTTGCAATCGATTGAGCACATTTGTAAAATGCTCCAAAAATTTTTCTCTTAAACTTCAATGTCAACGTTAGGTCAAAGGGGCTTCTACCTGCGAGAAAAGGACCGTTATGATTCACAGGATGAAAAACAGACTGCTTTGGCGGAAAGATTTCATTCTTCACTACATCTGTATGCAGTTACCACTTCAGGTTACTGAATAAGTTATCCAGATACGTCTTTCGCTATTCAGGTTTGTCTTCCGCTATCCAAGATGAATGTCAAAGAAAGAGGGATTTTATTGTTGATAAATGAACTTTGGCCTGCTTTCATGATGAACATTCAGGATGAATGTCAAACAAAAAAGGACCCTATTGTTGATGAGTAAACTTTGTTGAAAGTGATCTTTTTTTCTAGTAATCGGATTTTTTCTTAGAAAAGCGACGAATCTCGAGGCGCAACGATTGCCCTAGACACAACAAAGTCGTTTTACATGTTCGTTCACGGCTTTTCTCGAACAATCGTTGACTAATCTAAGATTAAGAGATCGACAAACTCGCCTATCTGTATATACACTTTATCAAGTATCATCAGGTAGATATTTTTAGGTATCATTGCACGATTCTATTCTAATCTTCTTCTAAAGCATCGGATACACGAATGATACGTAACGATTATCACTCCTTTTGAAATAATTCCGTTATATATTTTTTTATACTGACAGAGAGCAAGCAGTTGCTCACAAACCACATGCCTCTTCGAGAATCATAAAATCCTAGAAAAGATTATTTCTGGTAGGGAAGTAAAATTGTTAAATATGATACTTTTAGTAAAATCATACCTGAAGTCGAAGGGTCTCATGTCTTTTACAATATCCGACGTATCCGTCTGGAGCCGGGATGGTCGGTTTTTTTTACGCTGGTTTTTTTCCGAATTTTTCATGTTTGTTATATTATAAATTAAATATTTTTTCCTGCATAGGAATTTTTTTTAAACGTTGGGTCTGTTATATATATATATATATATATATATATATATATATATATATATATATATATATATGTTTTTCTTAGAACCCTTCTTGAACTTACTGAAAAATTTTTCTTAAAAGCAGAAATTCTTATTACATTTGTCAACACATACTGTTTCTTCTTCAAACAATTTAGTTCTTTAAGATACAAATGATCTTTCAGATAGTGTCAGATATAATTTTTATACAGTATAAACTTTATACGCCATGAATTAGGGATTTACCGGCTCTTTCATTAAGTCACCCTGTATCGAGTTGCGGCGAAGATATGTAGGTATCTATATATAAGATTATTTCTACTGATAAACTTTTCGTTGTTCAAGTTCTCGTTTAATCTATTTGTAGAATACTCCTGCTGTTTCCGGCGAGATACAAGGAATCTTATATTAAGCTCCTTGGTGCCATTTTAGAAACGGATATTTTATCTATATTATTTTCTTCATATAAATTTTATCTATATTATTTTCTTCACATAAATATGGATTTTCTTAGAAGAAGAATAGTAGATAATTCATCTTTGTGTTCCAAAAACCAAAGTTATGTGAATAGCAAGGAACCTATCTTTACATTCTCACAAAGACTGATGACGAAACACATGTATTTTATCTCCTTAGAAAAATATGCTAAGTATTCTTGAAGTTAGAAGAAAATGTTTTAAAAATTAGAAAAATTTCATCTTACGCGAACGAGTCCTTTCGCGCATATACAACGTAGCGCTTGTCAGAGTCAAAATTTAGATTACATGTTAAGCTTACGAATATCATCTGCAGGTAAACGAAAAGGAAAACTAATATTTGGCAAAAAAGTACTAAAAAAAAAAAACAAAGCCTGATGAACAGTAACCTGATAAGCTGTTGCCATAAAATCATGTGGATTTTATGTCATTGAGACCAATCTTATAAGAGGATCCCTCGTGTTATACCTCCGACTACGGCTAAAAGTTGTAAGAAACGTAGGGACAACTTTTTGCTAAAACTTATTAACAATGCTGAATTTGTTTTCAACCCTTTAGACCGATTTCCAACGAACTTTTACAAAGAGATAATAAAGAAGCGTTGATCGTACAATGAACAGTAACAAGTGACAGTAACAAGTGACATATTGTTCAGGGATCTTCCGTGGTATAAATTGTCACATAGAAATAAGGAGGAATTATCGATGTCTCAATCTCAAGCTGCTCGTTTTGCGAGATATGCGTCGTATCGGTCCTTTCCATGTGTTTCATTATATTCGTCTGCTTTGCGCCAGGCGATAATCGCACAAACGAGAAAGCTGCAGACGCATTTGATATTCCATTTTCTTTGTTGCGAGACGAATCGAAAAACTCCATTTCATCGGGTGGATACAAATCGGATTTCCGCGATCTCTCTGTGTCGGGAGACACGCGATATTCATACGATATAGTCGAATGCGCTGTTTGTGGAGTGCGTGTTGATCTGTGAAATATTTGATAATAAAGAACCATCTCAGACAACAAACATTTCTAAAAAATATTTTGAGTACGTTTGAAAGACAGATTAAGATCTGTATTAATAGTCGTTATTTGAAATGTGTTTCAAGTGATATTTTCGGATTTGAATTTAGAGTTGGATTTTCAGTTGAATCACGATTAATGATAATTTAATTGAAAAACTTGGACCCAGTTCCGAATTAAAATTGGAGTATCTCATATCAAAATTTTAAGTGACAATTATTAATATGAGCCTATGACATTTAAAAAAAACTAAGATTTTTTAAACGCCTTTAAAACGCTCTTCAGAAGTTTGTACTGTCTAGGGGATGTATTTTTACACGTAGGATATTTTTCACTTACGATTTCATCACTTCCTCGCCAATGCTCGAGCTATGATTCACAATAACAGATTCAGCGGACATATTGTACGCAGCAGCCGTAACATCTTCATTCGAATCATGATCGATGACTGAAGATGTGAGTATCGCTGTTGCAGTGCTATCAGCAGCATCATCTCGCGTACTATTAACTGCATATTCTTTAATCGACAAGACTTGCAGCACCTTGTAAAATTGTGCCCTGTCTGCCACTTCCATGCCCGGATCATTCAATTGCGTCATGTCGTTGATGCTTTCCATCACCGGTGATGTTACGTTAATAACAATCGTGGAATTGAGCGATTTGCTGAAACGACCATGAACAACCGAACTGGAAGACTCGCACGTACGAGAGAAGGTGATTTCCGAAAGAAAACGTACGTACTTCTCTGTGTGATTCGAATAATTGTCTCTGTCGAGGAGCTGGTGATCCTTCTGGCCCAGGTGCACAGCGGACCAGGTGATAATAGAAAGAACGACGAAAAATATCACAAACGACATCAACCATTGGATCAGCCCGAAAGCCATTGCAACGACACCAACTTAATCTGTCTCTAAGATACCGACATTTGTACTCGAACGGCCCGCCTCTGCAACTCTCTGTTGCTTTCGTTGTGATCTTACATTTAATTAAATACGATCTCGTCACGAGTAAAAGTCTCGGCCATTATAAAACAAAAAATAATCTGCAGCGATATTCGACTGATTTTTAATGAATCGATTTGCTTCGGGAAATTCGGGATGAAGGGCTAAATCAATGTGAATTTGGCTAACAATAAATTTTCCTATAACACATAACATATTATTAACAAATATTTTATTAATAATTTAAAATATAATTTTTTAAATATATTTTTAACATATGAATATTTAAAATATAAGCCACACATAATATTATGCCATTAATATGATTCCATTCACTTTATAAAAATATGTAATTATATGTAATTACAATTATATGTATTATATTTATAATTATATGTAAAGTAGTACCGAAATATCATACCAAGTGCTATGATTAAAATAATTATATTACATTAATAATATTCAACAGATAATTATTGTTGCACCTAAGATAAATGTCACGGAACTCTAATGAGAAAGCACGATCAGAGCGCTTTATATTTATATTAATAAATAATTAATGAAATTACTAACAAAACCCAATGACTGAATTATTGAATAATATTACAAATTGGCGTAAAGAAAAATTTTTGAACAAAATCTCAAATTTTTTCTTTTTCTTTCGAAATATTATATACAAAATATATTATTAATATTTCAAACATCAGGACACGTCCAGTTATTGGGATATTTACCTTACTGATCTATTTTTTATTTAAACAAAAGTGTATATTGACGACTCTGCGCACTTTTCTCTGATCGTCAGTCTCCGTGAACGAATAGCTTGCATAACGGTACAAATAGTGACATCTGCCAAGATGTTTTGTAAGTACAAGCAACTTGCAGGTCAGTGCATCTGAATTGCCTGAGTGCATTGTCATGAAACTGTCACCGCGCGCTCGCTCGCTCGTTCTCACGCGACTAATAAAATACGTTTAATTATCCACGAAATTGCAATCGCACGGTCGCGCTTGTGTGCAAGTAATAAAGCGCTCGACAACGTACGAGAGCTGAGAAACGCTCGGCATGATAATGTTCTTGGTCGTCTGCAAGTTTGAAGAAACGGAAATATAACCTCTGTCGCTGTCGTCGTAATTCCATTTGATCTCCTAATTGTTGCGAGTTGAATTTGAATTCAAATCGCATTCCGATGTCTTCTCCACGAGCGAGAATTTTTTCCTCGCAACTGTGCGCAGTGTATCCCCTGTCGACCGCTGATTTCATTGATATTATGTTTGACGAGCGCCTACACGAGGATTCAGTGCTGTTCTGAGGAGCCGGTAAGTACACAGCATAGCGAGATAGATTTTTTGCGTATTTACGCAAATTATTGCGTATATTAAAGTTTGTGTATTTACATATTCCACGGTTCCATACAAGTTGAATCTGTTCGGGCGGGAAACATTTCGAAAAGAAGATCGATAAGATTCTTATGTACTGTAGATTTAACGAGGACCAACAGCGGGAAGGATGCCAAGTTATATGAGCCTGGTGAGATTAGTCCGGAGACGTCTTGTTCTCGGACTTATCTTTGCCCTGTCGCTGACCTACTGTGCCTTTTCTTTGCTGCGAAATGAGGTAAGTTGGCCCAGCAATCCATCTGGGATTGGTTACCCAAGTAAAACAGAAACTTACCATTATGTTAAAATGGTGAGAAACTGATCGAATTGTGATGAAAAAGTGAGTTTTTTGGTCATTTTCTTGTCACTTTGATATCATCGTGATGCTTTGTTCTGAATACTTAGGCTGCGTTCCAATATTTGTTACCAATGTTGAGAACTTATAGTTCAAGTTACGAGTACTATAAACCTTCAACGCTGTCACAGTAATTTTGAAACACAGCTCCAGGCAGAACAAAAAATCATAATCACGTCAGAGTGACAAGAAAATGACTGGAAAACTCAATTTTCAATAATGATTTTCTTGTCATTTTGTCCCTGCTCAAAACAATGGATACAAAACAATAAGATTATATCACGTTCAGTCTGAATTTCAATGTAAACCAATCATCACTGTATTGATTCACATTGATTTAAATTGAAGATTAAAATTTATGCGATGTTTTGTACCTATCATTTCAAACAGGGACATGGTTTTCCGTTTTGCTTGAGTGAGTTCGTGTTGGATGTGTGGTTGCTGAAAGCATCATTCTTTCTTCAGCATAATGAATAATAAAGATAGAATAATGCTGTCAGTACGAAAGAATCTGAAATATTTGGTCAGAGTGAATAATATTAGATTTGGTTTCCGGATTTGAGCCGCGTGGATTCTTCTTTGTTTGATTGTGAATAATATTGTTCTGTATAATTTCTATTACATAATTCATGATATAATATAATTTCTGTTATATAATTCGTGATTGCTGTTGCACACACGCAGAAAAGGTCATTGAGCATGGACAACGATCTCGATGACATGGATCCTATGATGATTAATGACAACAACGAAGACTTGATGCCTGACGACGATACGCTCGCAGAACAGTTAAAAACACCTGGTAAATCTCCGCTTTGGCAAGTGGAACTGCTTGAGCGAGCCGTCAATGATAATGCAGCGAGCGTTGATGCGACCAATTTGAACGAGAGCGACACTTCCACTAAGCCCTGTCGCAATTCTATTCAAGTAAACTTCAGCCCGAAATAATCGCAAGTGCTCGTCTTGAGAGAGTCATCTTATAATGTATAACATGTCCGTTTCAGGGAAAAGCTCTGATAGTGGACGAACGGGGCATAGTATGCGCCAGGCATGAAGTTCTACCGAATGGATGTTGCAGAATCGAGCAGAAACAGACCCCGAAGAACGAGGAGGCGCCGCTTATGGCTAGGAGAGAAAGATACAGTTGCAAAACGTGCAATCCTCAAGGATGCTGCACAATTTACGAGTATTGCGTCTCGTGTTGTCTGCATCCCGGCAAGGTAGATTCGACTTATCGACGTTCGCACGCCTGTTTTCCTCAATCGCGCATTCGAAACGCGCAACTGAAGAGAACAGATAACGCCCGTTAACGAGAATTCTCATTCATCCTGCCTATTTTCAATGTGCTCCCCAGCAAATCAAAGGTCGCAAGGACGTGGTGTCGGGTTCCGCGAAGGTGCAGAAGGAGGAGGACGCGGTGAAGACGCGCATTCGCAATCTGGATCGCTTTCAAATCTGCTTGGCCGCCTGTCGCACGTCGAGCGCCAGCGTGCGGCATGAGAACACCTACAAGGACCCCTTCGCCAAGCACTGCTACGCCATGCAGCCATCGAATTCTCACCAACGACATCGGCGCGATGTTGTTAATTCATTAAATAATAACGGCGACAGTCCCGCCGTTGTCGTTACTTCTTCTTCTGTGGTGATGTTTCTTACTTACCTTCCTCCCGAATGTCACTCTTCATACCGTCCGACATTGAATGAATCCTCTGTACCGTCTTGCGTCGATCCTACCTTAACATTACTCAACTACTATTCTAATCGCATTTAATACGTTTAATACGTCTCCCTTGAAAAATACATGTTTAATACTCGACCGTATGTCGGTCCTCAAATCTTTAACGTTAAATATTACAAAGACGATTTGATTCCGCGTACTAAGACCGTCTTTATATCCCATATATCTTTGTACGTTATATTGATTTCAGGGTACTTTTTACCTGCGTAATGCAATATCTCGCTCTCGATGCGTTGTTGAACCGGTTCGAGTTCCTATTTCGAAAGAGAAAAAAGAAAATCTTGTTTTATTATACTCGTCGAAACTTTTTGCCATCCACTCGTAAATTCGTACATCTTTCGTCTACGTACATAATTGCAATCCGCTGCTGCATAATGACAAGAAATGGCTAGTCTCGTCCGATTGGATTTATTGACGCCGGATCCGTGCATGAGCAGCGGGTGGAAGAACACTGTATCGCCAGGCTCCATCTCGAGGTCCAGCCATAACGTCGTGTCCGGCAAATCCTTGGTAACGGGAAAATGTCGATTAATCTACTGTACGCGCGAAATTTCCTGAAGTGAAATCTCGCTGGAAGCGAGTGAAGACTCACTCGAGGCGCGATATCGGAGATTCGCAAGAATATATCCTCACCTGTATACCGTGGTAAAACTTGTTCATCGGACCGGAAGGATAATCGTGGGCGTGCAGTAAGCCTGAAAGGTGCGATCCGGGTGCCACGTAGAGGCATCCGTTTTCCTTATCGCAGCGTTCTATAGCTGTCCACGCAGCCACTATATGATCAGCCGGACGTAACGGGAAATAGTACAGATCCTGGTGCGGTGGATGCCTACGAGAACATATCGCAATTGATACTGTTTGGCGATCTTCCTCGAACGAGAAATCAGCCTCGCGACTCTTAATCTAATCTAATTTACTTGGAAGTGCCGAATCCGGAGTCGGGTGGTTTCGCGATGAGCATGTTGTGTATCGCCAGAATATTTGGCCCGGTGAAGCACTCAGTTATGTCAAGGATTTTCTTGCATTGGATGTATTCGAGCAACACCGGATCGAAATTAATGTCCTGCAACTTATTTACCGACTTCTTGTCCTTCACGTCGTACATCATTACGATTCTATCTCGTGGAACTCTGCCCTTGACGATATCGTTGAATCTGGCAAGGAATAGAATTCAGCATCTTTTCTACGTGACTTTTATGTGTATATAAATGGATTTTTTATTCTTTCTCGGCAAACAGAGAGAAAGAGAGAGAGAAGAATAGAGAAATATTGAGATGCATCTCACTACCAACGAATTCGCGTACGTGAACGATATTAAAAGAAGCTCGCGTGTTTACACTGCATGATATAACAACATTTCCGATATTCCATATGAAAGAGTCGTCTCTGATATTACCGGTTATTGCCGATTATTGCCGGTATTTGCGTGCAAGCTAATAACAGTTTCGGCAAATTTGCCGAAATATCGTACGAATATCGGTCGAATAACGTTATTACATTACGAGGCTATTCGTATTAATGCGGAATTACAAGATTATTTATTCCGATTAATTTCTCTGCAATAATAACGAGTATTTTCAATACGTAAACTGTTCAACCACTCGACAGTTATGTTATTTCACGATGTCGAGCAAATACGTTAACTCCGTGTTCTCAGCACTTTCGGGAAATCGTAAGTCAACAAAAAAACTGAAACATTTTTCTGACAATTGAACGACTTTCTCTCTCCGCATAGTATGTAATTAATCTCTGCTGATTAGCTTCCAGCATTTGAACAGAAATGACATTGCAGCGGGGAAGCGAAACGCCCGATTTACATTTGCAAGGCGAACACGTACCTTTGATGGTATTTATCAAGCTCATTTTGCGGTATAAGGCGAGGAAACACTAAATATCCATTCTTCTCATAGAAAGCCCTCTGTGTTAATGTAAGAAAATTGTTATTCTTCGTGTAGCGGAAGTATGTCAGTGACATGGCTAATCTTTATATAATTTCTCTTCGAATGCTTCTTTCCACTACTCCTTCTGAAACATTCCAAATTTATTTCATTCATAACGGAACTTCTTCTTTTGAGGAGTGTTGTTGTTATCGTTATATATTTAAAAGATGCGAATTGTTCAAAACGAATTATCGATTGAACAACTCAATATTTGTCGGAGGGAAATTTTTCTGCACCGAGAGAAGAGATGTCTGGAAAATAAAGAATATTTATCCGAGCGGCATTAATGACGCATTCACTAATCACGTGGGCACTAATCTAGAGTAATAGAATTTCAAATTAAAAATCTGTTTAAATGGAATTTTAAGTAGCGACCATCAATGCGATGAGAAGTGAAACAGCCTCGACACCTCGACTAACCGTCAAGATTTCGCGTCGATCTCACACATCGACACCATCGCACGTCCCACGTTACCCTAGACCTGTCGAAACAGATTATCCGCTGTCAATTGCCTCCTCCCCCTCGACGCTCCTAGACGTATGTTGATACGTAGCAGTAATCCAATAACCGCCGGATTAACCCTTTACGCCCGATACAGCGCCGCTGGCGACGAATAATTATCGGTGCACAATTCGCACGCCGACTGCTCGGGATTTGCAATGACACGGTGAGTGCGGCATCAGCTGATCTCGCTGCTCACGCGTGAAAAAAGAGCGAGCAAAAATCTCGATTCAATGCAAACGAGCGGGAGTGTCCCGCGGCAATGTGCTTTGATGAGCCATTTGCGACGTCGATACCTTCCAGCGAACAATCAGCGTCGCGATGGAAATGAAGGCGGAAAATCGTCTCGCGACATTCTTCGCGAGGGAGATGAGAAAATGTCTTTTTGCCCTTTTGCTATCTCGAATGCCAATTTGCGACGCGACATCGCTCGTCCGTTCGCTTCACCCCTTTCGATTCCAGGCGAGTACCAGAGTGGACGAGATCGAGATCTCGCCTCCAGCGAGATCCAGCGATTAAGTAACGGCCACGATTCGCGCACGGTACGTTCCGGGCACCCCGGAAGCGTCGATTGCGCGCGTCGATGGAGGAGGCGTCGCGACGCGCCGCGCCGACGTGGTGCTCGCGCCTGGATTCCCTCTCGCTCTTTTACCCGTTGACTTCAGCACGTGGCATCAAAGAGAAGGATATACATCGGGGTGGTCGGTCTTCCCGGCCAAACGGCGACGACCCTCGCTCGTCGTCCGTCCGTCCGTTCGTTCGTTTGTTCGTTCGTTCGTTCGTTCGTTCGCGCGCGGATTCGAGAGTGTTGCGCGTCGGTCGGGCACCTTCGCCTGGGTGGTCGCGATTTTCAAGCGCGATTCCAGACTCCGGGCAGCGGAGTGATCGACATCCACATCTGAGTTCGGTGTGAGAAGATCCCGCGTCACTCCTCTGGATCCTCAACTTCGGTTCATCGGCGCGCGAGAGACTAGCATAAAAATCAGTGATTCTTGACTTCATCGTCCGGCTCGCCTTCGAGATGGACGTGTCATCGGGTAAGCTCGAATATAATCATTATTTATCCGATGGAAAATTACTGTCGACGTATCTCGCGCGCGCGCTGCGCTTTTTCCGACTCATCGTCGTGATCATAACACATATTGTCGTATTGATCACTGAAGAAAAGTGACAAGCTATCTGAACGTGTTTCGCTCCTCGCACTCGAGCGCGACAATGTGAGACTCGCTCGTGGCTAGAGCAAGCTTGGAAAAATTAGCCTTGCTGGCAGAGATCTCGCCGAAGTCAGAACGGCGCGATCGCTTTGAAAATAAACGGCTTATGTAACGGCAGAGGGGGGAGATTCTAATCAACCTGGTCCGCGTCCATTAACTTGATAAACCGCTTAACAAAAATCTAATTTAGTAAAAGGACAGAGAGACGCGAAACATTAACACATCACCAACTGTCCTCCCCGCTCACTCCAGAGAGATCCACGTATTTTTAGCGAAAGCCTACGAACGTCACCGATTGAGAGGCGTCGGATAAAACAGATATAATGGACTTCTCTCACAATGACGCACTTCGATAGAGTCCAATAGAAACGCGCAAGGATCGGCTCTGTTCGCAATAAAACGGAATACGAAATTACATTCGAAACATGGGCTTGCTTCAACCGCGTCGCCTTTTTCGCGCGTCTTCTCTCTCGTCCTCTATCGGTGGAAACTTTTGTCACGCTCGTCGAGCGTGCAGAAAGATCGTGTATGTTCGGTGATATAATAATCTGTCATCGCGCATCGATCGCGCGACGAGATGGTTTTAGCCGAATTAGCCGAATCACCACCTTTTCGGGGTGTTTCGGCAGCAGCAAAATCGGCGCGAAATCGGGTGTAGAAGGCGGAGATCTGGCTGTCTCATCGCGTATCTGCGGTAACCGCGAGAATAGAAACGAGTTTACGGAGGCAGGCAGACAAAATCGATATACATCGCGTTAATAATGAAACGGCAAGGTCTATAACCTTCTGCGAGCGAGTCGGGATCGACCTTTCGCGGTAAATGTAAAGACGCTTTTCTCTCTTCCTCTCTCCATCTATCACTCATTCTCTCTCTCTTTTCCTTTTTTCTCTCTCTTCTCTTCTATGAATGGCACTCGCGCGAATCCGATGGCCGCAACGACGCCACATCGTGTTGTAATTTGACTCTTTCCCTTTTTTCCTTTGTTTTTCGCGAGATTTGCGTCATACCTGGCACCGTGTGCGAACATTTTAATTTTGTTCCCCGCGAATACGCGCGACAGTTCATCCGGCTTTGGGCACGAATCAGTGGATAAATGAATCGCGTGTGAATCTCGTGAACGCGAGCGCGTTTTGCGCGTGTCGCGAATTTCGCCGGGAGGTTCGCGCGACGGACGTGGAGGATTTACGGAAAGGGGATGTATGGGAGAAGAATCGGCGAACAAATTGAAATCCACCGGCGTACAATTGCACGATCCTGCGGTAACAGCTGTTCGCGAGAGCAGCGTGCGGCATCCCGCGCATATAGAATGTCGCACACTGTGCAGTTCGGCGAAGCAACAAGCGGTCGCATTATTCGCGTTTTTCATTAACTTCGGCGAGCGCGCATTTCCACCCGCTTGTCGATACACATTCCCGCCGCTGCATAAACGTGCGATTCAACTGAACACCGCTTGTCATTTAATTTGCTCGCGTGTCGACGTGGTCTTTCCGATTCTATTTGCTTAATTCGCAATCCTTTGCGAGCACTTCCCGTCGAAATGCAAATATCGCGTACGTGTGTAACGAGACCCCATATGAGATTATATTACACATAAATATTTCAGTCATGATCTTCTGTGAAAACATTTCCACAGCCCTTTCGAGAAACACGCGACGTATACAACATCTCGCTTTGTGCCGCGCCACACATTCCGTTTCTCTCGCGTTCTCGTGTTCCGATTAAAAAGGAAAAAAAGAGATTGTGACATTTGTCTCGAGGACTCGCGAGTTTCGCTTTGGCGGATTGCCGTCGATATGCAAAACGGGTTCACACGGGGTGTTCTTGCCGAAGTGTCTCGGCGAAGGTGCGTTTATTCGGGACTCAAAGCCGAGAAGCCGAGTGTATCGTGTCGAGATTCCGACTCATTAAATTGCCGCGGTTTATTAGCACAGCCTCGTTAGGCAAATCTCAGGCACATTTACATCTGATAGAAGGGAAATGGTGGAATTCACGGACGATAAAAAAGAACATCTTGATAACGTCGAAATCATTTGTCCGAATGACTTTCTTATTGCCATCGTCGTCCAATACCGATTCTCTTTCGTTCTTCCTTTCATTCCATCCAATTCTTTCTCACAGACGATTTACTCTCCTGCGTATACCTTTTTTATATTCCCGCTCATCCGTCGTAACTGGTCCGTGTTGTATTCATTGGGCCGGAACGAGAGTACAATCGATAGCGATCGGAAAATGATGAGATTGAAATTACAACCGCAATTGCAATTAAGTCTCACGTTTCGTACGCCAAGTAGTATTGTATCGCCCACCGCGAATGTAATATCATTACATCGCCGAGCAATTAAATGTCAGATCAACTGCGAGAACAAGCTCTTTGTACCTTTCTCTCGTTATTAATGAAACTTATCTCCAATATCTTCTGAAATTTATTCTCAATATTCTTCCCGTTCACTTTTTCACCCTAAGACAATACTACACTCTATTCCACAACTCGTAAGTGGGGTAAGGTTGAAATAAGGTCTTATCCCGTGGGTTTAAATGTACAACGGATTACATTGACACATTGGTCAGTATGACGGGTTGCTTATTCATTTCAGTTGGCAAGTATGCGAGCCCGGACGCAGACTCAGCTCGGATTTGGCGATATGCTCGTTTATAAAACAGATCACACTCACTTTTGCCATTAAAAGAAATATGAAAAAGTATTGTAAATATCATTTTACACGTCACACTGGCCTGTATGCTGTTTGTATGTATACACACGGAAATACTGTATGCTGCGTTCAAGTAAATGTTACTTGTTTTGTCAATATTTTACAAGTTGATAGATTCGCGAATCTATCACGAGTCCACCCACCGTCAAATTTATCCAAAGTACATTCCAAATCTTGATAAGTTTAATATTTAAATGAAGAGTATTAGATCAAAACAAAAATTCGACTGGCTTACATCAACTTTTTCTTCGATAAAGTTTTATCATATTCTTGTAAAAAAATAAATTCTTCTTTTGAATACACGATCATTAGCTCTTCTCAAATTTGTTATGAATATATATATATATATATATATATATATATATATATATATATATATCAAGACTGTTAACATACAAGATAATATTGTTTGTCGAAGGTAACTATTGCTCTAAAGAAGGAATGTATAAACTGAGTAATATTTCTTTTTCTTAGCAGCAGAATTATATTTTCCTCTGTTTGTGTCTATTTATCTCTTACCTTTCTTTCTCCTCATCTCGGGTTGTTCGCGAATGAATTTCCTGCGATCGCGTACCGCAGTTACGCCAATCGCGGAGTAATCGCGCGACACATTATCGCGTGACCTTAAAACTGCAAACGGCTTAATTAGTTCGGTAC